CTGTGTCTTTTTGACACATTCTCACTGTTCTTTGGGCTCTTGCTTGCTTTCTGGCACAAGATATTCCAGGGTCACCTGGTACTCTCCCTGCCCCAGACATGAAAGCGGCTGCTTCTCCGAGAGGCCCTGGACACTAGGTGTTGAACTTGGGATCTGAAATGACCCCCAAAGGCTCATGTGGTAAAGGACTGGTTCCCAAGGGCCTGGCAGAGTGGCTCAAGCGGTAAGAGCGCCTACCTGGCCAGTGTGAGGCCCTGAGTTCAAACTCCAGTGCTGCCAAAAAAATCAAAACAAAAGCCATCTTTAGCCAGGCACTGGTGGCTCACAACTGTAATCCTAGCTACTCAGGAGCAGAGATCAGGAGGACCGCAGTTCAAAGCCAGCCCAGACAAATAGTTCTCAAGACCCTATCTTCAAAAAACCCATTACAAAAAAGGGCTGGGGAAATGGCTCAAGGTGTAGGCTCTTCGTTCACACCCCAGTCCCACAAAAAAAAAAAAAAAAAAGGACTAGTTCGCAGCTGGTGGCACTATTGGGAAGTGATGGGAACTTTAGGAGGGGGCCTAGCTGAAGGAAATGGGTCATGGGGGGTGTGCCCTTCAGGGATGTGGGGATCCCCATCCTTCGTTCTCACTCTCTCTGGCTCCTGGCTGCCATGAGGTGAGCAGCTTTGCAGCTTTGCAGCTTTGCCCCACCATGATTCTCTGCCTTTCCTCCTTTAACTTTATTTCCTCAGGTATTTTGTCACAGTGACTAAAAGCTTAATTAATGGACAGACTTCTACAAAATAACAGTTAATCGACTTAAAGAAGGAAGGATTTGTTTTGGTTCACAGTTTCAGAGGATTCAGTCCATGGTTATCTGGCTCCATTGCTTTTAGGCCCTGGGCAAGGCAGAAACCTCATGGTAGAAAGGCATGGGGAAGAAAGCCCTCACCTCATGGCAGCCAGAAAGAGCAGAGAGAGACAGACAGACCGAAACAGAGAGACAGACAGAGAGAGAGAGAGAGAGAAGAAGAAGGAGGAGGAAGAGAAAAAGAGGGAGGGAAACAGGGACAGGAAGACAAAAAGGAAGAGGGAGAAGAGGAAGAGACGAAGGGACAGAGGACAAGCTTTTTTCTTCTAGGTTACTTCCCCAGTGATCTGCTTGCTGCAAACATCCTAAAATTTCCACTGTGTCTAAATAATGTCATCAAATTATAAATCCATTAATGGATAAATTCATTGCATTGGGGACCAAGACTTCCACATGGGAAACTTTAGGGGACATTCCAGATTCAAACTGTACCTCTAGGTACACACACCACTGTTGGAGTGTCACTGTCATAGAACTAGGGGAGATATATATTTATAGAATGTTTATGTTTCATATCATTGATTGGACATATTTACAAATAGTATATTTATAATTTATATATCACATATTAGAATTTATTTTTTATTTCTCTCTATAACATTGGAGACTATGAGTTCAAATCTGTGCCTCTCATTCATTTTGGTTTTCCCTGTCTGTATTTGGAGCTCTGGGTCAAAATCGCCCCCACCCAAGAACCATTCCCTTAGACAATGGAATTCTCAGGATGTCCCAAGGCCGTGCACTCGCTAACAGGAGCCTAGTTTTACACTGTCTCTCATTGTTGGGTGGCCCCTTACCTAAGGTGACCACAGAAAGAAGAAGGGACATGAGTCCACAGTGCCCGTCACTGAGGGCTCTTTAATGAGGCCTCCTCAGTGTGTGAATGTGCGACTCCACACTCAGCCAGCCTTCCTGGGCCACAAGTGCAGTCCCAGGTGAGAAAGTCTGCTGTCACAGCCAGCAAGAATGACGACATTTCACAGGGCGGGGCTGCTGCCCAGCTAGGTGACTTTGAGAACAGTCACTTCCTCTTTCTGGGCTCCAGTTTTCTCATCAGTCAACTAAGGGCTTCCCATACCTTCCAGATTCCAGGTGAGGACTTCCCTTTACCAGATAAAGTGTGGAGAGGAGTCAGCTCTTGGCTCAGTGAGTAATGTCTGCCAGAAGCACAGGCATGGGGCGATGAGTGAACCGGTGTCTTTATCCTGCATTTGCTGATGTTCTGCAGGATTCGACTGGAGTCTGTGTGAGGGCCGGGAGTTAGGAACAGGAGAAGCAAGGCCCTGAAGGGGAAAGTTCCACTCAGATTTTTTTCATGTGAGTGTGTGACACTGGAGTTTGAACTCAGGGCCTTCACCTTGAGCCACTCCACCAGCCCATTTTTGTGTTGGGTGTTTCCGAGATAAGGTCTCGAGAACTATTTGCCCAGCTGGCTTTGAACCAGCTGATTTCTGCCTCCTGAGTAGCTAGGATTACAGGTGTGAGCCACCGATGCCCGACCACAGATTTTGTTTTTTTGAGAGTAGGTCTTGCAGTGTAGCCTAGGTTGGTTTTGAAATCACGATCCTCTGGCCTTCCTCCATCTCCCAAGTGCTGGGATTACAGGGGTGCACCACCAGCTTTTCTTTTTTTTAATTTTTTTTTTTTTTTTTTGGAGAGCTCTTCTGTGAGAGGATAGGGTGAAATGGTCCCTATGGGTCACAAAGACCAACCTCTGTTTCCGAGGAGCACTCAATCATTTATGAAACTGACAAAGAAAACTAGGGTCGGATGAGAGGAAAACTCCATGACACCCATCCACTTCTTTCTCTTTGCCCACCCTCTGGAACCAAGAGGAGGATTTGTAATGCTCTGAGAGCAGAAAGGGAAGGGGAGGAGTAACGTTTGAGAACAGTCACTCACAGTGCAAGTTCATGGGCTTTGCCCTTTATTATCTGTGTGATCTTGGACAAGTTACTCAACTTTTCTGGGCCTTGGTTTCTTCTTCTGTGAAATAAGGTCCAGGAATCCATCTTGCAGAGAGCCAGCATGCAGTGAAGTTCAATGATGGGCAAGTTTGGGAAAGGCCAGGCTGCAGTGTTCACATGGGGTCAGGACTTGGTACTTAGTTTGTCAGGCAATGGGGAGCCATGGCCAGTTTTGAACCGTGGAATGATCTAGAGCAGCTCGCATGGATCGTTACCCCTTATCCAGCTCTATGTCACTAGAATAGACAGAACTCAGGAGATGCAGAATCAGAGAATGATCCAAATAGGACAGACTAGACCAGAGAGGAAGGAGGACAGGAAGAGCTGTGAGGAATGATCAAGTCCACTTCCATGAGCAAGAGTTGGCAGAACACAGAAGAGAGAGGGCCAACAGCCACCAAGGCAGTGGAGGGATTACTGGCTTTGTCCTTGAGGCTCAGGGGACGGTCAGGAGGAAAGGAGCAGAACAAAGGGAGACTTGCCTGAGATTGTGAGTTGAATTCCTTTGTTGTCTCTCAAGTGAGGAAGGAAATTTCTTTGAAATTGCTTGTCTCCACTCTGGGTGGAACATTAAATAACACTGCTGTCCTACTGGACCAAGCCACTCCCAGAGCTGTCTCTACCTGCAGGCACCTGTCATTGTCACAGGGTTTCTCTGCACTGCCCAGCTGTGCCTGGTGAGGCCAGCGTGCCAAGGATGAACCTGGCCCAGGAGCAACGCTCCGCCAGTGCTAAGTGGAGGCTGGCAGGTAAATTCTGCAGCAATCTCACCCTTTGGGTAGGAAACTCTGAGACGTCAGCTACCCCACCACCCAGCGTATCCCTCAGTTGAGCTCCAGATAAGCCCCTGGACATCCAGGGACCCCAACAGCCACAGCAGCAACTGACTCATTAGCTCGCCCTGGACTGGCTCCTTCTTTTCCTGTCTCACTCCCCATACCCTTCTTGGCACTTCCTGCAAAGGCACCTGTGCTCAAATCCTGGCCTCAGAGCCTGTCTGACCAGTGAGAGTCCAGATATTCTGTTCCATGGTCAAGCCACCATTGGAAAGGAAATGTGGGTGTGGTTATCCCCTTCTGAGTTCATGTAGCTCATCCACACGTGCCCTCTCATCCTCCAGCCCCAAGATGTCTCCCACGGATTCTTGAGTTTATGTTTCAGTAAGTTTTTTTTTTTTTGGACAGTATTGGGGTTTGAACTCAGGGCCTCACACTTAAGAGGCAGGTGCTCTACCACTTGAGCTATGCCCTCAGCCTTTTTGATTTGGTTATTTTTGAGATAAGGTCTCACTTTTTACCCTGGGCTGGCCTCAAATAGCCATCCTACTACCTATGCTGGTAGCATCCTACTACTTCTGCCTACCTGGAATGACAGGCACACAATACCATGCCCAACTTGTTTGTTGAGATGAGGTCTCACTAACTTTTGCCTGGGTTGATCTTCAATCACGATCCTCTTGATTTCCTCCTCCTGAGTAGCTGAGATTACAGGCATGAGTCACCCCATCAGCCAGCCTCTGATTCTCCTCCAGACCACGTTCCAAGCAGGCACTTCCAACAATTCACCCCAAACTGGGACCTCTTTGGGGAGTGTGCAAACATGACAGTGACAAGTCTAAGGCAGAGAAAAGAGGGCCAAGCTCCTGCACTAGACAAGGAGGGGTGGACCCACAGGTGTTCCAAGAAAGGAGGTGCTCCTGCTGAACAGCTCTTCCTGCACAGCTCCAGCCTGCCTCTGTTGAAAGACAGTTCCTTTGCCCCTCAGGGAAATTCTTGTTTCTGAACCCATCAGTGTTTGAGCTGAGGACACAGGAGGGGACCTGAGCCACACACAGTCCTCCTTGGGCCTGTCCATGCACTGTGCTGGGGTGACGCCTGCTGAACAGAGGCCTGAGGGGTTCTGGGCCCATGCGTTGTGCAACCAAGCAAACGGGAAAGCTGACTGGGGCTGTGGCTGGAGGAGAGAACATCCCATTGTGACGGTGCCAAGGCACTGACTGAGCCAGCCCTCTGGCCAGCAGGCAGGGCGGTGGCCCTCAGAGATAAGCCAATCCCTGGGCTACAGGTGAGGATCTCTGAGAAGTATTATTCAGGACAGTGAGAACCACTTCTCTGAGCAGGCAGGAGGGTGGCAGTACCTGGGTGCCAGTCCAGGAAGCAGGTGGCCGTCCAGGAGTGCTGGGAACCCCATTCCTCTGAGGCAAGGTCTGTGTGCTCCCCACAACTGCAAGAGCTCAAGTGTGGCCTCCCCCTTCACTTCCAAGGGACAGGGCAGGATGAGCCGGTCAAGACACATAGGCAAGATCCGGAAACGTCTGGAAGATGTCAAGAACCAGTGGGCCCGGCCGACCAGGGCTGACTTCAGTGACAATGAGAGTGCCCGGCTGGCCACAGATGCCCTCTTGGATGGGGGCTCTGAGGCCTACTGGCGCGCACTCAGCCAGGAAGGTGAGGTGGACTTCCTGTCCTCGGTGGAGGCACAGTACATCCAGGCCCAGGCCAAGGAGCCCCCCTGTGCCCCGGATCCTGCAGGAGGGGCCGAGACAGGCCCCAAGGGACTGGACTCCTGCTCCCTGCAGTCAGGTACCTACTTCCCTGTGGCCTCTGAGGGCAGTGAGCCAGCCCTGCTGCACACCTGGGCCTCGGCTGAGAAGCCCTACATGAAGGAAAAGTCCAGTGCCACCGTGTACTTCCAGATGGACAAGCACAACAACATCAGAGACCTCGTCCGCCGCTGCATCTCCAGAAGCAGTCAGGTAGCAATGGTGGCGCCTGTATCCCCTTGGCCACGGCCGTGTGTCTCCTGGGTCCTGGGTGGGGTAAAACAGAGCTGGCAGACAAGGGAAAGGGGTGCGTTGTACTTTCAGAGATAGAGTCCAGCTGATCAGGGCTTAGGGTGGAGGCAGGGGCACTGTCCTCTGCCTTATCCTGGGTCATTGACCTCCTGATTCCACCTGTCACATCCTGGGTCAGGCCACCACCATCTGTCACTGGAATGCTGCAATGGCTTGCTGTCTGGTCCTCTCTTCCATCTGAATCCCAAACCACACAGTCTCCTGCAACAGAACCCTTTTCCTACACTGCACATCTCACCTGGTCCTTTCCCAGCTTAGATACAGCGTTCCATGGCTCCCACTTGCCCATGGTGGGAAGAGCAACCTCCTTCACGCGGCTCACAACCCCTCCCTCCTCCTGCCTCTCAATACAGAGGCCCTAAAGATTCTCGACCTGCCAGCTCTGCTTTCAGGCCTTCGCATGTCTGTTCCCCTACCTTAGGCCTTAACCTTCCCTGCTTTTCACCTAACTAATGCTGCTCTAACCTGGGGAAGCCTTCTCTGAATTCCCTACGATGAGTTAGGTGGCTATCCCCGGGGGCCACTCCACTGAGGCACACCTTTGCCCCTTGTCCTCTCAATTTTGCTTACATCTGTCTGACCATAAATGGCACCCGAATGAGGCCACTGTCAGGCAGAAGATGGGGTCAGCAGCGGAGAAGGACTCCACCTGGCTGAAGGATTTCACTTTAATATGAGACTTTAGAAGTCGAAAAGTCCTTCAGGATGTCAGGCCTGGCTGATGGGATTTCAGGCCCAATGGCAGCCCAGGTCAGGAGCCCTCCCAGTGTCCCTGAGTACAGGGGCCTTGGTGGCTGCATGTCATCTGGGAAAGGGTGAAAGGCTCATCTTACCCAGTCCACAAAGTGACCATTCAGCTCAGGACTCAGGATACCCAGTCCTCCCTCCTGAAGCCACAGAGGGACAGGGGTAGAATGCGCTTTCCAGAGAGAAATCTGTCATTTGCACAGATGACAGATTTGCTGTTTATGACAGGTAATTTTTGCTAGGTGTCTCATGCCTGCGATTTCAGCTACTTTGGAGTCTGAGATCAGGAGGATCGAGGTTAGAGTTAGGAAAATAGCTTGTGAGACTCCCCATCTCTAAAGATAACCAGAGCAAAATAGACTGGAGGTGTGGCTCAAGTGGTAAAGCACCTACATGGCAAGCTCAAAGACCCCCTACCCCCACACACACAAAAAAAGGCTACTTTTTCTCTTTTTGTCACTAAGATTACATTCAAAAGAACTCCTGAAAGCACACACTGATATTCAAGATCATTTCTTGCGAGGGCCCAGCCTTGTGACTGAACCCCTCCCATGGTCAGTACTGTGTGAAACCTTAAGGTTCTAGGAAAAGCCATTCAGGCTGAGGGGGCTGAGTGTGGAGGGGAGGGCAGAGGGGACTGGAAATTTAAATGGAAGGTGGCAATGGGTAGAGCAGCTTGGTGTACCTGGGCTGCTTCAGAGCAGTATTTCATGTCCCTATGATAGGGTGGCATCAGCAGTGACAGATGGGCCCAGGCAGGCTGCCAGGAGCCAAGTCTCCTGGAGCTACCTGTGCTGCCTCCACCAAGTCCCTTGACCTCCTGAGGCTCACCTCTCATGCTAGACTGAGGTCATCTTTGTGCTTTAAAGACCTGATCCTAAGTGTGCTGGCTCTGGTCCTCCTGGGTGACAGACACCAAGTGCAGGGAATTCCTCACCACACCTGCAACTCCAGAAGAGTGGGACACCCTGGACAAAAGAAGCTTGGGGCTTGTGAAACCCAGGTCCCTGGCTGAGCCCCCACCTTTCCCTACCCCCCACCTGGCAAGGCCCCTCCACTCCACTGTAGCACTAAGGCTCACAAGTCCCCATAAACAACACAGCATGCTTGAAGGTTTCTCCTAAAAGGAGTCATTCCCAGCTACTCTAAGAGGGGTAGAAGACCATCCGCCACTGGTGCTGGGTTGTGACCACCTCTCTGGGCGGGTCCCCTCTACCACAGTCCCTTGCTTCTCTCTGTTGTCCTGGACCCTCAAGGGCTTCACCCATTTTATTGATTTCCAGACCTCTGCAGGCTGACTTTTGATGTCCCTGTCACACAGGCATGAGGACTTAGGGTGGCCTGCTCCCATGGAGATGGCTGCAGACCCAGATCCCCAATCTATAGAAACAAGTGGAGAGAAGAACGAGAAGAGAGTAAGGGGAAACAGGCTTGACCACCCCCCATACACAAACACACACACATTGCCTCTGCCCGCTGAGAGGAGAGAGGGAGGTAGATAGGAGCCAGCCCACCAAGTGTTTTCTAGATAAAGCAGGAATTCCCCTCCTTCCCTGTGCCACCTCTGTTAAGTCCCTTGACCTCCCAAGGCTCAGCTCCTACGCCAGACTGAGGCCCATCTTTGTGACTTCCTCCTTTGGCTAGAGGCCCAGGATGGCAGACAGGATGAAACAGGCATTTCTCTGCCTGTGGGGCTCCCTGCCAGCTGCCTGACCCCAAGGAGAGGAAAGGAGGACACTGTGGCAGCAGCCCCAGAAGTAGGCAACCCTCGGTGTCTGGGGTGATGGGAGAGGTGACTAAGGCAGGTTTCCCAGAAAAGTGGCCTCTGAGTCCAGTGTCTAAGGCTGAGTAAGAGTTTGCCCTGCAGAGAAGGAAGGGAAGGGAATTCCAGGCAGAAAGACATCAAATGCAGACATGACAGGCTCATGTGTCCTGGAGGTGGGGAGACAGAGTCACCCATCCAGTGGGACCAGAGCTGGGGGACATGGGACAGCAAGCAGTGGTGAGGAGGGAGGGCAAGGATAGGGATTGGTGGGACTGGCATACTGTGCTGAGCCTTACACTGGGTCAAGAGTGAAGGCAGAGGTTACCAAGTGTGCGGCAAGTCCCTGCCAGTCCCTGAGACCTTCCATCGGTTGTGTGCAGCTCCACCCTTCCAGCCACTTACCCACGTCTTCAACCCTTCCACCATGACAGCGGCTGGAGGCAGGAGGGGACAAACCGCTGGGCTCTGTTAAGGCAGGCATCACAGAGGCCAGCAGGAACACAGAACAGGGACCTGGCCAGTTGTGTGGCACAGCATCTACTCTGCACCTGTGAGGATCTGTGTGCAACGCCTAGCAACACACACCACACACAACACACACACAACACACACTACTCACATATACATACACACCACACACACCACACATACACACACCACGCAAAAACACATGACACACATTGCATGCACCACACCACAGACACATACACAAAACACACATACACACACTAAATATTCATACCATACACATGATACACACCACACATCACACACACACCACACACAAAACCACATGAAGACCCCACAGAGACCACACATATGCATGACACACACCATGCACTACACATATCCACATGACACGTTACACACAACCACCACATATACCCAAACATGCCACATATATACACACACAAATATACATGCTCCATGCTACACATACACATGACAAGTGACACCCACAAACACATATGCACACACACCACATATACACACACCACATAGATACATATGACACACACCATGCACTACACATATCCACATGACATGTTACACACAACACACCACATATACCAAAACATGCCACATGTATATACATACAAATACACATGCTCCATGCTACACAAACACACACAGCACAAATACATGACACGTGACACCCACAAAACACACATATGCACACACACCACACATACACACACCACATAGATACATATGACACACATGACCCACTACAGAAAGACTACACTCATACATGACATGTCACACACCACACACATAAAACACACAATACACACCCCACACAGACACACAACACAAACAATATATGCACATAAAACCACACACACATGCACACACACCACACATATGCACAGCACACACACATACAACACACACATGTATGCATATCACATGACACACAACACACCACAGTTGTACATGATACACCCCACACCCTCCACACACATACACTCAAAGAGACATGTCACATACACCATACACATGTAACATGGATCATATACATGTCACATAACACACAAAAACACATACACAGGACACATACCCCACACATGCCACACACCACACACACACACAGGACACATACATGCTGCACACACCACACTCATCACACACACATGCAGAAATCATTCATGCAACATACACAGCACACACATAAACAACACACATGACACACCACACTCAAACACACCACACACCATATGTGCACACACCTCACACACAAATATACACAAGAGACAATACACAGCACAAACACCACACTCATACTCATGGCACATGTCACGCAGCACACACAAAACACACTCACCATACACATGCAACACATGACACACACATACACATGACACACACCATGCATGCAAACATACACACATAGAAATGACACACATACACCACAAGCATACATAGTCCACATGTCACAGACCACACACACACACCACACACTCATACACACACCAGGCATGCACACACCACACAAACATACACATTACACTCAGCACAACACAACACACACATGATACACTGTATATACACTACACACATACACATGACACGTGTCACACACAACACATATACCAGTCGCGTGTCCGTGCCCCACACCACACACACATCGCACATACACACCACACACATATACAGTACACACCATGCATACACATGACACATGCTACACAGAACACACACACCACACACTCATGCAAACATGCACCATACACACACACATAACGCATGTCACACACACACATCACCCACATACACACATACACATGACACACACAACACAAAACCACACAACACACATGCATAGGACACAAACCTACACATAACACATACCACGCACATACATATGACACACACACCTACCATACTCATATACATTACACAATCACACAACACACATATACACACACCACACATACACACCACATGCAGCACACACCACACAGATGCTCAGGAAACCCAGCACACACATATGCACACCATACACACATGCCACACAATACATACACCACACACACAGTGCACACATGACACAAGCACCACACATCACACAGAGAACACACATATGCACATATACACCATACACACAACACACATCACACATTACACACACATGGACATACACACCACACACCACACATTACACACCACACAAACACACACACCACACACATGCACACACACACCACATACATCACACATTACACACCACACACACACAAACATGCACACACACACACCACACACCCTACATACACACCCTCAGCTCACACCCCCTTTTTGAGAAAATGTAGTACTTTTCATGAAACCTGTAATGGGTTGATTTAAGATAAAATTATTTCAGCCTTTTCCATTTAATTTCTAATACGGCAAATATCAATAGCCATAAACACATGAACAGAAGCTTTTTGAGACAGTCAATAATTTTTAAGGTCTAAGAAGGCAGAAAGCATCCAGGGCTGGAGGACTGGCTCAAGCCATAGAGCACCTGTCTAGCAAGTGTGAAGCTCTGAGTGCAAACTCCGGAACCGCAGCCCCACCCCAAAAAAGATGTCCTGAGTCCAAAAAATTGGGGAGGCAAGCCCGGGGCCAGCAGAGAATGTGGAACAGAGACAAGGCAGGGTGCGCTCCAGGCAACCGGAATTCTTTCTCTGTCTCTGGACTGTCTCTTCTTCATCCTCCTTCCCTCGAGCTATACCCGATGTCCAGAGACAGACTCCACACACACACACACACACACACACACACACACAGAACACGTATCACACACAGACCACGCACACCACACATCATGCACACACAACACAGCACACACAATCCACACACAATCCACATGCATGTACTTGTAGACCTGGAGCAGAATGATGGGGACACAGGACATTGCTTGGGAATGAGCCACGAGATGAATCCGTGGCTGATGGTAGAGTGCAAGGAACCCCTGCTGTTGGTGCTCCTCAGTCAGAAGCAAGAGCAAAAAGGCAATCAGAACGAAGAAAAGGAGGACAGCTGAAGCGAGTGGGGGAGGTGGTGCTGAGTGTCCCCAGTGCCTGTCCCCAACACAAGTGGGGGCCTCACCAGGATCAAATCGCAGTTCCTTCTGCCCCCTGTCCTTCCAGTCCACGCAAAGCTCCTGCGTGCCCAGATTGGGGCTACATCCATCAGCATCGCCTACATAGCCCCTCCATTTCTCAGCAGCTTTGATTCCTGGAGCCGACCTGCCTGACTGTGCATCCAAACCACCTTCCCTTCCTTCCCAGTCACCCTCGCCCGGCTCTGTCCACACCTCTGATTGGATTGGCCCTGACAGAACACAGCGCACCCTACACGGCACCTTCCCTTTACGCCCACAGAGGAGCAGGCACTGATTTGAACCCTCTTCCACAACCTGGATTGAGGCATCATTCTTGCACAGTGTTATTCTAATCTTCCCTACACTGTCTTGTGAACAAGGCATATAAAAATGAGTCATTTTTTAACCTCAGATGAAAATAACCATCTTTACTTTCGTGCAATACTTTCACCTGCCTCATCAAGCTTGCACTTAGACCCACCTTGCATGGGAGCTAATGATCTCTTATGGGACAATCATTTCAAGGCAAAGAAACTGAAGCCCAGAGAGGCCAAGTGACTTGTCCAGAGTCACACATCTAGTTTCCAGCAGCTCCAGGGCTGGAGTCATTTCCTAGCTCCTATTAGATCTCTTTTCCTTTGGATTATATACATAATACAAATTACTACACACCTGGTAGCTTCCAATAGGAATCTATTCTCCCACAGTTCTGGAGGCCAGGAGTCAGCCACCAAGGTGGCTCTCCTTTTGGGCCATGTTCTCTAAATGTTCAAGGGATCGTTGCCTCTCCAGTGTCTGACGGCTAAAGGCAGTTCTTGGCTTGTGGGCTGCCCAACTCCCGTCTCTGCCTCTGTCTTCACATGGCCTTCTCCTCTGCTGCCGGTGCTCTCTTGTACCTGTTAAAAGGTCACTTGTCGTTAGATTAGGGGCCACCAAAGAATCCAGGAAGAACTCATCTTGACATTCTTTACTATATTGCATCTGCACAGACCCTGTTCCCAACTCAGGTCACATTCATAGGCTCTAGGGTGAGGATGTGGGCATGTTTTTTCAGGAGATCCATGATTCAGTGAACTACAACCTAAGGCAGCACCCCTCCACACAAGGAGCTGAGGAAGAGAGGGTCAAACCAGCTACAGGCCTCAAAAGAATCCAGCTGCTGCAAGCCAATTCCATAAGAGAGCAACAAAGATGAGCCCAGACGTGTGCCTGCATCTCTGAGCATCTTTTAAGCGAGGACACCGCTGAGCATCTCTGAGCATCTTTTAAGCAAGGACTCACAGGAAAAAGGACGTGGCAGCATTAACTGAGTTACGGGGAGAGAGAGCATGGTCTTTTTTGTTTATACCTTGCAAGAGGAGGCATTTATCTCTCAGCACAGAGAGGGCCCCCAGCCGTCTTTGGTGCCGTAAGCTTAAATGTTTGCAAACACTTAACTGCTGTAACAGAGTCGTGATTCTAATGGACCACAGGTCTTGCTATTTAAACAGCTTTTCTGACTTCCTGTCGGGGTGAGCAATTTCTCAGCAGTCTCCTCCCCTGTCGAGAAATCTATGTCATTTGAGCAAAAAGTCAGCCCCACGCAGGTACCAGCCATCTCGTTGGCCTACCAACAAGGTGCTCCCTTGCCCTTGTTACGTCCAGGTGTGGTGATGGTTAAACATTACTATTGTAACTATTATTATCACAGTTAATGTTGAAAGAAAATCCCTATAACCCCCCCATCCTAACGTACTGTTAATTCTGACTTTGGGCTGAATATCTGCAGTTTCACTCACTGGCAATCATGGGGGACACATGACCATTTTGCATTGTTTCCTTTTTTCACTTAATTCATTAATTGTGAACACAAATTTATTGAACATTTATTTATACAGACAGTTTTATTCAGTCCATAAGCATTTCACATCTCACAGCTTCTACATAACCATTACAGCTATCATTTTTAATGTTGCCCATAATCAGATTGTCTATATATCATAATTTAGGTATTAGGAAGGGTTTATGATTGGGTGACAGAAAAGAAACCCAAACGAGCTTAAGAAGAAGAATACTCACTGACTTCCATGTGGAAAAGTCAAGGATAATGGATGTCATGGTGCATACTTTAATCCCAGCAATGAGGAAGCTGAGGCAGAAGATCTTGAGTTCAAGGTCAGCGTGGGCTACGTAGCCAGACCCTGTCTCAAAAGCAAACAAAAATAAAAGGTAAAGGTATATTTGGCTTCAGACATGACTGGAACCAGGTGTTCAAGTGATGCTGCTGTGTGTCCGTCCCCATCTCCTAACCCTGCTTTCTCTAGGGCTGTCTTCATTTTGGGGCAGCCTCTCCCCAAGCGGTAGCAAGGTGGATGCCAGCAGCTGTATGTGATAAACCACCAGTCAAGAAAGAAGAAAGAAGGAACATCTTTTCTCAAGAGTCCCAGCAAAAGTCCTGGGCAGGCTACCATTAGAATAATGTAGATCAGGTGACCTCCTCTGGCCAATCTCTGTGACCAGCAGGGGATTCAGTGTCCTTATTGGTCTATCCTTGCTCAGGTGCCCTGCCCCTACCCAATCAGGGGATGACTGGGCACCATTCAACTCACATTGACTGGGGAGGAGAGGTGATTCCCTGAAGTGGGACTGGAGTGGTGCTGGCATGAACACCTTCATTTTGCCCCTTTGCAGGATATCTAAGACCTTGTCCACAAGTTTCTGCTATGACAGATGATCCAGTGGCTGCTGAGAGAACAGGACCCCTTCTCCATCCCACGGGCAGCTCCCTGTGGTCTAGTTCATATATGGTGCCTCCACACAGGATCTTGTTGGAAGCGTGGACTCTGTGGTTTAGGAAAACTTGGAAACCAGCTGCCATCTTGCCTTCTAGCTACACAGGGCTGAGAAGCCATGACACAGCTTATTTCTCTCCCTGAGCCTGCACCAGGAGCTCTTCTTGTTTTTCTCTTGCCTTCTCTGTTCTCTTAGCCTCTCTCTCCTAGCCCCCTCTGTCATCCCTACTCCAACAATGGGCATAGGGCCAAAGAAGGTATGCTGAGACTGAAGAGACGGGATCAGGACAGGGCCAGGGACCTCCACTCCAGCCCTTCCTTTCCCTTCCTCAAACCCTGTCCAGTCAGATCCTCCCATAACCTCCCCTCCAGGCCCATTGGGACTTAGGAAGTTCAACTGAGATCAGTGAGCATGTGACTCTGACTTCTTTGATAATGGAGCCTTCTGCCCTGGCCCAGGTCTTGGCCATCCTGATGGATGTGTTCACAGATGTGGAGATCTTCTGTGACATTCTAGAGGCAGCAAACAAGCGTGGGGTATTCGTCTGTGTGCTCCTGGACCAGGGAGGTGTGAAGCTCTTCCAGGAGATGTGTGACAAAGTCCAGATCTCTGACAGTCACCTCAAGGTAGGGGCCCAGTGAGAGCTCTGAGGGTACCTTGTATCCATCAGGGTAGAACAGGTAACCAATGCATCATCTCAATGGCCCAGCACAATAATGGCTTATTTCTTGCTCAAAGTCCTACATAGGCCAGATGGTCCTTCATCTGGTAGCTACACCATAAGGAATAGATGACTACAAAGGCAGTGTGACAGGGAAAGAGGGGCTGCAGGATTCTGTGGGATGATGTTAGGATCTGACCTGGAAGAATTTCCATCACTTCTGCCCATGACTCTGTCTGGATGCCCCAGTTCTGGCAAGTGTAAAGGCGCATGGATATCTGGTGAGCAGTTTCTCTGCCACCTGCTCCTTTTCTCCTTTCAGTAGTGGATGTGCCTCACAGGGCAGGGCAAGGCAAGGACCAGGACTGTGGGATACATATTTAGAGCTCCCTGGCACCAACAGGAAGTTCATGTGCTTGGACTTAACTGAACCTTCCTCTTCCCTCTCCTGGAAGGGAGAAAAGAAACCCAGAGATAAGAGTTTAATTAGTCATGCAGACTTAAGGATGGTAATTCAAGGTCATGAGTATGCTCATGGTGGTCCTCAGGTTCCTTTTATGTCCCCTCCAGCTCAGGCAGGTCAGCAACCTGTGTCCCTCCCTCCCCCTTCAAATTGACTCAGAGACAGCTGAGTTCAGGACCCTCCTGGTGCCACAGGCCTCAGCACTGTGGGGACTGCCTGGCTGCCTGGGTCACACCTCCTTGGCAGGAGGGCAAGAAAGTCAGTGCTGGCCCTGCCTCCATGCCCACACTGGCCACACCTGACAGTTGTCTGCTCACCATAGGGCATAGATGTATCCCTCTGCCTGCCATCTCACAAAGAGGCTTGGAGAGCTGCTGGAGGCATTGGGGGTGCCAGTCCCAGCGCCTGCCCAGCCCAGGCCAGCATCGGTGGGTTCCCGGTAGTAGTCTGCCTCCCTCGGCCTTAAGCCAGAGGCAAAGTCCCATCCTTCACCTGCCTTTCCAAGAGGTCCAGCTGAGGGCTGGGAAGGAGGTGGATGCTGGGGAAATGAGAAAACTAGAGCCAGGATTTGGGTTGTGGACACATCTTTTCTTAGCATGAACCAGGGTCCATGGGGGCCTTCACAAAGCCACCCCCCTCACCAGGGTAGGGTCAGGGACTCCTGTCTCTAAAGCCACTTGCAAAGCAGGGCCTCTTGTCATCCACTGAAGCCTAGACTATGGGCTCCTTCTTTGATTTGATGTCTTCTTTGAGTTCTACCTTCTCCCCTTTTTTCATAGCTAGCTAATGTCAGGACAATGAAGAAAATTCAACTAAAGTAAAACTATAATTGTCCCATAATCCCATCAAGTAACACGGTGACATCTTGGTGAACATCCAGACTGTTTCCCATGCAAATAGTCTTAGTATGTTGGCTGCTTTAACAGAACAACATAGAGTAGGTGGTTTATAATGAGCAGACATTTCTTTCCCACAGTTTGGGAGGTCAACTGTCAGTGTCTGTGGAGTCAGTGGTTAGTGAGGCCTCTCTGCCTTGGTCTTCTCAGTGTGTCCTCATATGGCAGAAGGCATGAGGGAGCTCTCTGGGATCTCGTGTATAAGGGCACTAGTCCCCTTCATGGGGGACCCACTCTCATGACCTAATCACAGATATGAGGATAGGTAAGATACCTAAAAATTAACTAGCATTTGTTGCCCTCAATGCAGAGAAACTAAAGCAGATACCTTAAAAGCAACTGAGGCCAAAAGGAAAAGGGGACCAGGAGCTAGAGAAAAGGTTACATCAAAAAGAATTAACCTAGAAGGTAACACACACACACAGGAAATTAATGTGAGTCAACTCCCTGTATAGCTATCCTTATCTCAGCCAGCAAAAACCCTTGTTCCTTCCTATTATTGCTTATACTCTGTCGGGTATTGAGGGGGTGAGGGGGAGAGGGAGGGGGTGGAGTGGGTGGTAAGGGAGGGGGTGGGGTCAGCGGGAAGAAATGACCCAAGCATTGTATGCACATATGAATAATAAAAATAAATAAATAAATAAATAAAATAAAGGCCTCATCTCCTAATACCATCACATTGGAGATTAGGTTTCAACATAGAATTTAGGGGGACGCGTTCAGTCCATAGCCCAAATGTGTACCTGCAAACATGTAATTAGTAAGTGACACCTTGACTTTGCTCCCAACAGAACATCTCCATCCGGAGTGTGGAAGGGGAGGTGTACTGTGCCAAATCAGGCAGGAAATTCTCCGGCCAAATCCAAGAGAAATTCATCATCTCAGACTGGAGATTTGTTTTGTCAGGATCATACAGGTGAGCACTGGACCATCTCCTGTCGAGGTCTCACGCACACCCCAGCAGCTCTCTCGCCTCCTCCATCTGGAGATGGAGCTTATCACATAGATTGGGTGGGAGGCAGAACACCTAGGCCTTTCTGGGGAGGACTTCAGGATGGAGAGGCTTTCCAGGTGCCTCAGTTTCCCCTCATTTCAATAGGACAAAGACCCTTCTTTTTCCTTCTCAGATCTCATAGGTATGATTATAAATGGATGCAATTTGTTTTGTTGTGTATGCACAGACTCCATTTCATTTTAAACTTTCATTATTTTAATATGACAAATTTATTAAGATTTATTCATTCACCACCAGACAAGTCACCTATTTAAATGTGCAATTCAGTTCTTCTTAGCATATTTCCAGTGCCGTGCAGACATTAGCACAATCAGTCTTAAAATACCAACATCCCATAAGAAAACCCCTCCCATGAGCACTCACTCTCCAGCACAAGTATGGTTCACTAGGCAACCACTGAGCTGCCTCTGTCCTGCAGCTTTGCCTTTTCTAGACATCTCATGTGGATAGAAGCACACATGTGGTCTTGTGTGACTGCCCCTGTCACTTATTACAAGTTCATTACAAGTTCATGCAATGTGTGGACGCCATGTGTTATTCATCCGGTCCTCAGTTGAAGGCATTTTTTTTGTTTCCCCTTTTCAGAATTTGTGAATGATACCAGTAAGAACACTCATGTGCATCTTTGCTTTTCCTTCTCTTGAGTATATGCCTACTGGTAGAGTTGTGCGGTATGGCAATTCCTTTTGAACTGACAGACAATGCTATTCCAAAGTGACTGTGCCCTTTACATTCCTACCAGCACGCCTGAAAATTCCACTTGACCCCAGGCAACACTTGTTACCTGTTGTCCTTTTTGTCATAGAAGTGATGTGGCTTTGTGGATTTGATTTGCATTTTCCTGAGGGCTAAGGATGTTGAAGTCTTGTGTTTGTTGTCCCTTTGCATCTCTTTGGAGAAATGTCATCCCATTTAACTTGCTTCTAAACACATCAAGTCTTCTACATGCATGTGTCTGACTTACCCCTCTCCTTCCACTGATGCTGTGGCGCCACACAGCCAGGGAGGCACTGCAAAATAGCCAGGGGGGGATGGATGAGCATCAAGGGAAAGCCTTCAGTCTAAAGTGTGATTTCTTTAGCATTTTAATGCCTCTTAGCTTAACTCCTCCTTTTTGTGATATTAATGTTGCCACCTCCAGTTTCTTGTTGCCTTGTATTTGCATAGTGTTTTAATCCACTGGGTAGCTTAAAAACAGCAAAAAATTATATCTCACGGTTCTTTTTGGCTTTTGGATGGACTGGGATTTGAGCTCAGGGTTGTTCCTGCTTGCAAAGCAGGCACTCTACTGCTTGAGCCACACCTCCAAGCCATTTTGCTCTGGTGATTTTGGACATGGTCTTCCAATGATTTGTCCCTGGACTGGCCTTGAACCACGATCCTCCCAATCTCAGCCTCCCAAATAGTCAGGATTACAGGTATGAGCCACCAGAGCCCTGCTATCCCAGTTCTGAAGCTGGGAAAATCCAAGGTCAAGGTTGTGGCCAACCTCTCCATGGCTAAAGGAGGAGGCAGCTCTGCAGTCTCTTACAGGGGTCCTAATCCTCCCTCATGATCTAATCACCTCCCAAAGGCTCCACCCCAATCTATCTCATTGGGCTTAGGATTTTCAACATAGGAATCTGGGGGAGACATAGCACAAAGTATATCCTTTTTTCCACACCATTTGCATCAGTCAACTTTCCATTACTACAAGGAATACCCATGGGAACTAACTGTATAAAGAGGAAAGTTTTATTTAAATTATAGTTTTGGAGGTTTAGTCTAAAATCAGGCAGGCTTATTAGTATGGCTTCTAGTGAGAGTGAGACATCATGGCAGGAATATATATGTAAGAGTAAATGGTCACATCTCAAACTGGAGCAGAGAAAGAGAACAGTCAGAGTGCCACAATGGTTTTTAAGGACACACTCCAATGATCTATGGTCCTCTCATTAGGCCTCTCCTCCCAATTCTTGACCACCTTCCACTTGGTCCTTATCCTATGTACCATATTAAACCTTAGGACCATTATTTTCAAACTTGTTAGGTTTTGGCAGTTACCACTGATCCAAGAAGTCAACCAAGCCTGAAGTGAGGAATGAAGCTGAGGAATTCCTTCTCACTCTTTTTAATTTATTATTGTTATAGTGGAATTTCAATAAAGTTTGGCTGTATTAGATTTTTTCTTGCCCAGAAACTCAATTTGTAAGCCACTGTCCCAAAGTTATCAATTGGGATGTTTCTTTTGAGCAGTTTCCTGCCTCCCAGAATCCACCTGCTGCCTTCCACATGGCCACAGATTGGTATCCAGGGACAGAGGGAGACGGGCTGGGTTCACTGTCAACACTGTCTTTGGAAACAGCTAAGATGATTAATGGAAAGATAAAATGCAGAGAAACAAGCTGGCTGAGTGCTTAATGAGAACATGAAGGAGCTTCAGGGTCTGGGGGATTTTGAACCAAAATCCCTGCTTTTTAGGGAGGCCAGAAGCAGGCTGTGCTGGGGTGGCTGGGGAAGGCTTCCTCCTGTAAATTCCTCTCATCATCTTAGGGAAACAGAATCTGCATTTTTTTTTTTTTTGGCAGTACTGGGGCTTGAACTCAGGGCCTCATGCTCACTAGGCAGGCACTTTTACCAGTTGAGCCACTCTGCCAGCCAGACTCTACATTTATCTTCAACGTCTCATAATGTGAATTATCTCATGCTCTAATCCCAAAGTTGGCATTGCTCTCACTTCTGGGCAAAGCCAAACACGTATCTTATGAATTACATTTTCCCCAGAAGAACAAGAACTTGAACTTAGTTCAAATCCTACTCTGTGTACGTCTCTCTGGACCTGTTTCCTCATCAGAACAAAACAGAAAACAAGAACAGCTGTTGGGAGAATTGAGTAAAATAGCACAAACACTCACCTGCCCAACCTGAGATACACTAAAACGTGGCGGTGTAGACAGTGGCAGGGCACAGATGTCTGGTTCACTGTGGTTCTAACACCAAGTACCTACCAAGGGCACTGGTTTCTCAGCCGAGCAAGCAGCCCTGTTGTGCAGCGTGGTTTGACCTTGCCTTCCAGGGGGTTCCTGGGAATTAGGAAAGAACACTTGTGATGGTGATCATGCCAAGTTTATTATTCGTTATTTTATTATTTATTATTCCAGGAGGTAAGGGCCTTTCTGCAGGGTTTGTGCAGAAGGAAAGTGCTAGAGAAACTTATTTCCCCATAACCCCACTTCCAGTGAAGAAGTCAGACCTCTAGCAACAGAGGCCCAAAGGCCATTTCCATGGAAGGCATGTGTAGCGCTCATCTGTCCCCATCCTGTAGGAGCTGTTGGGAAATTAAAATTGAAACCTTCTCCTCCCAACTAAAAAACCTCTACAAAAATAGAAGTGAGCCAGCACCAGTGTCTCACGCCTGTAATCCTAGCTACTAAGGAGGCAGAGATCAACAGTTTGTGAGACCTTGTCTCGAAAACACCCAACACAAAAAAGGGTTGGCAGAGTGGCTCAAGTGGTAGAGCGCCTGCCTACCAAGTGTGAGGCCCTGAGTTCAAACCCCAGTGCCACCAAAAAAATAGAAGTGGAAGAGAAACAATTTCAGTGTGTGTGAAACACCAGGCCAGGATCAATTAGGACCACAGGCAGTCTGCTGGCGACACTGAGATAAATGACAGAAGTCTCACCCTGTCTACAGCTCTGGCAGGTTTTGGCACCTGAGTCAGGTGACAGCTGCGGTAAGCTGTTCTCCCTGGCAACTGGCACGTGGCTCCTTCCTCTGTGATTACAATTCAGGGATGATTCCCAGGTCCCCAGGTGGAAGGCTGGCAAGGGCAAGTTCAGCCACTAGGATTTCTGTACATTTGAAAATGCTGAAAAAGGAGAACCTTCCCTTATATTCAGTAGGGAAGAAGAGAAACATGGAGAAGTGACCACAGGGTGTCCTAAGACCAGCATAGTAAGGATGAGCTCTGGGCCTGGCTGGTGGCCAGACTTTTACCTGGCAAGTCTGGGAGGTTGCTGCCATTGGTTTGGAGCCATCCACTAGTGGATGTGACATGAATTTTGTGTCCAGAATTTTGCAAAAATGAAATAGAATAGAATAAAAGCAAACAGAGCACACTGGGATAGAAATTTCTTTTGTTTGGATAAGGTTGCATGTTTTTGCCAGCCTTGGACTGAGATTCTCTTATCAACACCTCCTACATAGCTGAGATTACAGATGTACACCATCATGCCCATCTTGTTTGTTGAGATGGAGGTCTAACTTTTTCCTCAGGCTGACGTCGAACAGTGGTCCTCCTGATCTCTGCCTCCTGAGTAGCTGGGATTACAAATTTGAGCCACTGCATCTGGCTCTATTCTGGAAATTGTCTGGCTACATGTATGTGTAGGTCATGATATAAAATATATCTTTCCAAGAAGAGCCCAGATAAATCTGAAAAAGAAAAACAAGCAGGAAGGTCTTGCTCTGCAAGGACTTGTCGTGCAGCTGTAGCGATCACGAAATGTGGCAGGGGAGGAGGGACAAAGTGACGAACAGAAGAGAGAGCCCAAGCAAGACCCACGGGGGACAGGGCATGCCAGAGCACTGGGGAAAGAAGGAACTACAAAACGATAATTCCCATAGAGATGAACATTTCTCACTCATGCGTGTTTTGAAAAAAATCAACATCAATAGATGAAAAGGATTTAAGTATCTAAAACATGTAGCAGAAAAGATAGTTAAGAAGAAGAAGATGATGATGATGATGATGGCTGGGCGCCAGTGCTCACGTCTGTAATTGTAGCTACTTAGGAGGTAGAGATCAGGAGGGTAGAGGTTCAAAGCCAGCTAGGGTAAATAGTTTGAGACCCTATTTTGAAAAAAGCGTTCACAAAAAAAAAGGCTGGTGAAGTGGCTCAAAGTGTAGGACCTGAGTTCAAATCCCAGTGTTGAAGAAAAAAAAAGAGAGAGTAGATGACTATCTTCTAGACCTTAGGGTAAACAAAAATTTGTTAAAACACACAAAAAGCACTGGCCATAAAAAATTGCTAAGTCTGACTGTATTACAATTAAGAACTTTATCAAAAGACATCTTAAAGAAAGAGAGAAGTCAGGCCATAAACAGGCGAAAGGTATTCAGGGAGTAACAGCAAGGGGCGGAATCTGGATACATCTGAGCAGGGAGATATTAAGTGAAAAAATCCCCAAAGACTGGGAGTGGCGGAGTGGCTCAAGTGGCAGAGCACCTGCCTGGCAAGTGTGAGGCACTGAGTTCACATCCTAGTACCCTCCCAACAAAAGAAAAAAAAAATCCCAGAATATTATATATAGGTTAAAAACAGCTTAAAATTAAAATATTTACTTTCAAGAGTAAATACTTTGAAGAGCACTGGTGGCTCACATCTATAATCCTAGCTACTCAGGAGGCAGAGATCAGGAGGATCTCGATTCGAAGCCAGCCCAGGCAAATAGTTCACAATACCTCATCTCCAAAAACCTCATCACAAAAAAAAAGGCTGGTGGAGTGGTTCAAGGTATAGGCCCTGAGTTCAAGCCCCAGTACCGCAAAAAACAAAACAAAACAAAACTAAGTAAATGCAGCTAGGTGTGGTGTGACATGCACGTCTGTAATTCCAGCTACTCAGGAGGATGAGGCAGGGGGATGGAAAGTTCAAGGTCAGCCTGGGCAACTCAGGGAGACTGTCTTAAAATAAAAAGAATCTTTAAAAGGACGAGGATGTGGCTCAGTGGTAGAGCACTTGCTTAGTCAAAAAAAAAAAAGTAAATATAAGACAACTGTTTTTAATTACGGGAAAAGGAAGCGAGGGTGTTACAATGCTGATTTCTGGAGATGTGTGGCCAGGAGGACCGCGTGGCTAGAAGTGGTTATGCTACAGCTTGTACTTCAGGGGGTGGGTTTAGAGGTGCCGATGACATCACTAAAAATAACTAAATTGCCTACATGAATAGAATTCGGGCCATGGGTGGACCGATGAGGATGTCAAAGATTCTGACTCAGTGACTGCTATGTACGTAGAGTCAAAACACAATAAAATTAAGATGTGTTTCCTCCCTGGGTTGTGATTCAAAGTATAAAGGTTAAGGCTGGCGATGAGGAACACACCCTGTGGGGCACACAGGGGAGCAGAGGGGACCTGCAGGGGCCTAGGGACTTGCCAGGGCGTCTCTGGACTTGTTTTGCAGAGCAAAGCACACACCTGTGTGGCCTAATCTAGCCTGATCCCAAATGACACAGGGCGATTGGCTTCTTGGGTGGCTCAGCCCCACAGTCCCTGTGATCAATCACCTCCTCTCCTGCCACTTGGCAGGCCCAGCTCAGCTCTGGTGACTCACCTCTCTAGAGCCGTGGTGCTTCTGGAAGGGAGGAGAAGTTTAAACAAAGCCTCCATGTTGTTCTCAGGATTAGCCTGGCCTGTGTGAGCCCGCCCTGCCTCACAGAACAGGGAATTCGATCCCGACCCGGGGCTGGGGACTGAACTTTAGACGGCAAGATAAGCCACAGAGGGCTAGAAGCTGAGGGCCCCATTCTTGGTGGGCCGTTTCTGCTCAGCTCTGGCCGTCCTCCCCCCATTGCTCTAGACCTCAGAGCTGGCCTGAGTCAGGGCCCAGGAGTCTAGTGCTCTGGCTAGAGCTGTCTATACAGCCACTGAATTTTCAGGAATTCGAGAGTTTTCTACAAAGGTAGAAAAGAGTTTGCTGAAGTCAAAGAATCATCAAAGCCTTAAGCATTTTGTTTTCATTTTAGGTCTCTAAATGGAGTGTCCAGGCCTGTCCTTGGGTGGGGTCCTCCAGTGGGTGTTCAGATGCTGTCCAGCACAAACCACAGTGCTGGGTGTTCTGGTTGCTCTCGGCTTGCCCTTTTCCGCCTCTCAAAGAGCATGTGCTTGCAAATGGACTAAATCTTTCACAAGCTCCTCAGATCTTCGGGAAACAAGCCCAGCCACAGCTGTTTTCTGCAGACCCCTAAGTAGTGGCAGGAGGCAGGTGTCCCTGGACAGGCCAGGTGACTCCTCTGAGCAGAGTGGAGACCACTGGGACCCAGCTCCCAGTCAGCCCCTTTAGAGGTCAGGAACTCACTGTGGCATCTCCACTATTCACCTGCAAGATGTCCAGCTGTGCAAGCAGGGATGACACAGTGAACAGGGGTTTAAATACAGGTGCTTACCAGGAGGAAATGCACCTGCTCAGAGGAGGGGTGGGCAGGGGTGAGCCCCTCTGTCCCTGCCCTGAGGGGTCCCACAGCTCTCAGACTATTCATCTCTCCCTCCCTTTCTTCTTCCTTTCCAGCTTCTCCTGGCTCTGTGGACACGTGCACCGGAACATCCTCTCCAAGTTCACGGGTCAGGCGGTGGAACTGTTTGACCAGGAGTTTCGCCACCTCTACACCTCCTCCAAGCCCCTGATGGGCCTTAAGTCCCCAAGGCTGGTCGCACCCCTTCAGCCCAGCGTGGGCCCCAGTGTCCCCAATGGCCATCTCAGTGGAAGCAGCTGCTCTGCCAGTGACCACACATCCTCCAACCCCTTCAGCAGCCTGTCAACAGGCAGCAATCCCCACAACCAGAGTCTGTCTACGTCCTCGGGACCAGGCAGTCCCCTGGCCCCAAACCCACCCACACCACCCAGGTTTCAGCCCTACCATAGCCCCTGGAGAGCCCCAGCTGCACAGGCCACCTTCTCCCCTAGGCCTTATGACAACCCACAGGCTCCCTACAGCAACCTCAAGGCCTACAGGCCCACACGGCTGCAGTTAGAGCAGTTTGGCCTGGTGCCCAGGGTTACCCACTCCTGGAGGCCTTTTCTACAGGTCTCACCTCATTTCTGAAGGTTCCCCTCCCCCTGCTGCCTTCCCCAGGGCCAGGGCTGGGCATTGCTAGATTTTCTGGCTCAAAAACTTCACCTTAATGACCAATAGCATTGAACCTGATTCCCTCTGAGCTAAAGGCACTCTGACAATACCACTGACTACATTTGAGTGTTCCCAGGACTGAGGCCATCCACTTGCCAGCTCCCACAAGTCTCCAGGTTCCTCTCTCTGGTTTGGCCTATATAACCCATTCCAGAAGGTTCCAGAAAGGTGGGAGGGGGGTGAGGACAAAATCACACTAAAAGAGCACCTGTCTTCCAAAATTACCCACAGCTTCAATATTAATGGAACCCAAAGTTCCACAATTTAAGAAGGGGTGGATGTGGCCCGAGTTTTACCAACAGCAGACTGAGGAACTGAGGAAATTCTGTGTCCCAGTGCCCAAGAATGGCCCACCCCACCCCCCAAAGATTCAGAAAGGAAAGATTTAGGAGAGGATATAGGAAGATTCTGGATGTTTCTAGAATAGTCCGGAAACCTTTTTTCACCACCATCACCCTGGAAAGGGTGAATTAAGGATGAGGCCCTAGGACCTGTCTTTAAGTTCTGTGTGGCCACTTGAAGCAGGTAGGGATGGGGGGACTAAGTTGACAGGTGTGGAGGTTCTGGTTGGACAAGGCAATTTAACAGATTCAGAGTCTTACTTCAAAGAGTCGTGACTGGCCTGGAGATCCCTGGAACCTGGGCTAGCCACAGTGGCTTGAGTTGTCAGCACTGACTGCTGCCCAGCATTCAGCTGCCTGGTGTAGCCAGCTACCTTCAGCTCCGGGTGCCTCTAGTGGCCAGCTGACTTCCTCCACCTCCCAGGAATGAATACAGATCCATTAGGAGTCCTATCATTCATTCATTCATTCCCAAAATTACAGTTATCCCTACATCAGAGGTGAGAGCCAGGGAAGGGACAGGCAGTGGGCTGTGCTCAGGGCTGGTCCAGGCAGAGAGAAGCAGGCACCAGGGCCCCTGCCCTCTTCTGGTCCTAGGCCCTCTCCTGCCACCCACGAGTCATCAAAGCAAATGTCTTCTCTTTGGCTCTGCTCCGGCTCAAGAGCCTGGCCTTTGCTGTGAGGGGCTGAAGAACAGAGCCCTTCCTCCTTGTGGCCTGAGCCATGACAGCACGTGTGGCCCACCAGTCCCGCTCTGCAGCTCTGCAAGGACTGCCTCCCCATAACCACCCATCGTCCCTTGTTCCTATTTGTCACCACTCCTGGAAAGGGCAGGGGCATTTTGCCTTCTGCTTCTGTTTCTTTTAAATTCTATTCCTTTCCTCAAGTCACTTTTTTCCTCCTTAGTTCCTGATAGTAAAAAGCAAACAAATAAAAAACCCTGGGGTTTCTGATGGTTTGGAGGTCCCAGCCCTCAGGCTGCTGTTTCCCAGCTGACATTGGGACAAGGGTAGAATTACCAGGCCAGCTGAGTATTCTAAATAGGATTTCACAGTCTGCTGAGAAAGGTGAAGGCAGGGAAAGCTTGCTGGGGTGACAAAAGCTTCCAAACCCAGCATTCCAGCACCCGCCCTGCCACACCTGCCGTGTGGCTCAGCCCTGGACCCCTGTGCTACCCCCAACAGCAGCTTCCCCTCTGGGGTGGTGAGCATCTTCCCATGGTTCACAGATATGCAGTCTGCCTCTCTTGGGCCCTTGGAGCATCCCATGGCCTGCTGGCCAGGAGGTAGGTGTGCTTTGCTCTGATTAGTGGCGCGAGTGTCAGGATCACTGAAGCGGAGATCTGGGTGCAGCCCCTTTTCCTAAGTGACCTCAGTCAGCAGAACCCCTCACTCCCATCCCACTGCCCTGCCATGCTACATTAGAGCAGGAAGTAAGCCTGTGCTGTTTAAGCCACTAAGATGTGGGTGCGCCATGACCCAGCTTCATCTGATGGATGTGACCTCCAAGACTGGTTTGAGGCTGTGACATCCTTTGGGGTGCCTTGGGCTCACTTTCCAAGACACCATTTCTACCAGAGGACCAGAAATGGTCCTGGCAATGGGGTGGTGGAGAGCTGGAACTAGGTCTTAACCAAATTTCAAACCCTACCTAACCTGATCTCATTCGATCTTTAATTCCACCCCGAGTTCTAATCACCCCTGCACCTCCTTTGGTAGGACCTGCCTGCTGGAGGCTGTCCTTAAACATAGTCTCTACTACAGAGTGACACCTAAAAATAGCACCTGAGCACCTCCTGTGGGCCACACACAGAGCCAATTCCAGGCAATACATCTCTCTGCCCTAAGAACTCCAAGTCAGCTGGGAGGTACCTACCTGTGAACACCACCAGAAAAAGCCCAAGAATGAAAGAAATGGCAGGATTGTTGTGTCCCTGGGGGGCCCAGTGGAAGGGTGCTCCACCCCTGGCCAAATGCATCCTACAAACCAAGGTTTGGGATCACAGACCCTACACAGTAACAGCCCAGAGGCCAACAGCATCTCTGTGGGCCCCAGGAGGGCAGCAGCAACACTGTGGTTCATCCAATTGCGTGATCACGGGTCCTCAGTTAAGCACTGGGGAGGAGCTGTGCTACCATAGGGCAGATGGACACTCAGATTCTGGGTGACCTCAACAGGTCAGAAAGGGCCACCCCTGCCTGCACTTGTATTCCTGGAATGCCCTGTTGGCCTTCATCAAAGTGTAAAAGTTTCTTTTAATGCTTCATGCTTTGAACTTGATCCAAGAAACTGTTGGACATAAAGAAATTGTCACTCACATTCCCAGCTTCCTTCTGCAGAGTGCTTATGTGTCAGAAAAACTGTTATCAGATGTAAATATTGCAGACACAAGACAAGCACAGATACGACCTCCTCTTGGTTGTCATTCAGTGTATTCTGTGAGCCGTGTTGTTTCTCAGGTGTCCCATCTTGTTTTCTCTTCAGGGTATGGTGAAGCAAATGGTGAGGCAGTGTGCTAAGTGGACAGAAGGTCCCAAGGAGACAGCCCCGGCACAGTGGTGCAATGTACACACTGGGCCAAGGGTGGCTTCTTCCACCGACTGCTCCCAAGGCTGGCAAGGGTGCCTTTTTCAGATCCACACAAAGACAACTTCCAGGCTGATGGCCCTGGCTTGGGAGGAAATTTCTAGGCCCCTGCCACCATGCTCCACCCCACACTAAATGGGTGCTAGTGAAGCGGCTCCAAGCTCTGTGAGCCCCTTCCTTATGCATCCCTGAGAAGCACAGACAGGTAACTTCGTTGGCTTTTCAGGAACATGGAAGAATAAGCAAGACAAACCCTGAAGGCGAGGGAGGTGCTTCAGGCCAAGCAAAGAGGGCAGCCAAGGAAGAGGGAAGGAGTGAGCAAGTCTTCTCAGGGACAGGACACTCCTACAGCTGCTGTCACATAAATACCAGACAGCTTTGACAGCGGAAATGTACTTGCTCACAGTTCTCGAAGCTGAAGTCTAGGTGTCATCAGAGCTGGCTCCTAAAAGCTTCCTTCTTTGGCTTGCAGATGGCTTCTCCCCTGCTGCCTCTTCACTTGCGGTGGTTAATTTTGATTGTCAGTTTGATTTTTTGAGGGGAGTCTGGAGGGATTTCCAGAGATGACTGGATTGTGAGGGCTCTGACCTAATGAATGTTTTAATCCACTGGTAGATTCAAAATCTGAATAGACTGTTGGGAGTTGGTAGAACTGTGGAAGGTGGGGCCTGGTTGGAGGAAGTAGGTCACTGGGGTGTGGCTTTGAAGGGTCTATCTTGCACTGGCTCCTTCTCCCCTCCTTCCTGACTGCCATGAGGTGAGCTGCTCTGCTCTACCAGGCCCTTCTGCCATGATGATCACCACAGGTTCAGAAACAACAGAGCCAGCTGACCATGGACTGTCACAGCAACAACAAAATCCTGACTAACACAACATGGGTGACCTTGACTGTCCAATCTCCTCTTCTTAAAGGATGCTGGTCAAATTGGAATAGGAGTTTAAAGAGCTGTGCAGAGATGCCAAGTTGACACAGGTGGATTTATGATAGCTAATTTTATGTGTCAACTGGGCTGTGGAGTGGTCATACATACAGATATTTGGTCATACATTACTCTGGATGTCTCTGGATGAGATTAACATTGACTCGTAGACCGAGGAAAACAGATTGTCCTTCCCAATGTGAGCAGACCTCATCCAGTCAGTTGAAGGCCTAAATGGAATAAAAAAATCAACCCTCCACAGGTAAGACAGAATTCCCCCTGCCTGAGGGAGGGCCTTCAACCTGAGACATTATTTTTCTGACCTGAGCTTGAACAGTTCCTCCAGTTGTGAGCCTTGGCCTTCTGACAGGAACTACACATTGGCTCTCCTGGTTTCTAGCTTGTTGACTCACATCTCAGATCTTGGAACTTGTCAGCCTCCATGACCACATGAGCCAATTCTTTTATCTATCTATCTATCTATCTATCTATCTATCTATCTATCTATCTATCTATGTCTGTCTGTCTGTCTATCTATCTACCTAGCTACCTAGTTCTCTTATTGGCTTTTTTTCTCTGGAGAACTTTGACTAATATGGATTTTGGTGCTATGGATTTAAAGGACCTGTTTCCAAATACTGTCACATTCTGAGGTGCTAGAGGTTAGGGATTCTCCATCTGAATTTTGGGAACACACAATTCAGCCTCTAACAGACAGGGACCCATGCTGCTGCTCCTGCCCTTATCACCTGCCCTCCATGTCGCAATGCCCAATCAGTTGTAGGCCCCTCACCACTCCAGCCCTGTCTGGGGCCAGCTGACAGCTCAGTCATCTCAGTCAGGACTCCTGAGATGTCATTCCCCGATTCAAAATGTGCCTTTCTGCCCACACAGTCAGGGAGTTACTTCTGGTAGCTGCTCTTTAAGCAGACAGTGGACCTGAAGTGGGAGGAAGGACCCAGGGCAGCTCCCTGGCCTTTGCTCCCAAACACCATGTGTGTCATCTCCTCCCAGGCCAGGGCAGGGGCACCTCTGCAATGCTGTTCTGAGACCGCTCTGTGAGCACAGCATGGAGACGAATGAGGGAACCCTCAACCTGCTGAGGTTTGCCATGAAAGGAGGTACAGGTCTGGGCCTGGGAGGCCAGCCTTGGCTTCACTCCACAGGTCCTGATGCAGACATTAATCCCAAGTTTGGCCTACAATGTGCCAGGGACAGCGACATGGTCCTGACTCAGAGATCACCTATGCTGGCAGCAAAGGCCTCACCGCCCACAGCAGTGTTTGCATTTCCCTAATCTGTGCTTTGTTGGTCAGAGAGAACGAAAGGACAGGGGTCAGGGAAGGTGAGAACTAGAAGCAAGGAGAAGCCAACCATGCGCTGGGTGGAAAAAGCATGCCAGATGGCAGCATGGCCTTGGAGGCAAGCTTGGGCCATGCCAACTGCAGTGGAGGCTGGCAAGCTACAGCCCTGCGCATTCCCGCAGGCCTCTGGATGCCTGGAGTCCATCTCAACCTTGTCCATGTTAGTAGGCTCTCCTGGGCCCAAAAAACACACACTGCTTAACAATCAAAGATTGTTTAGAAGGGAGTACCGGGTTCACCATCTAAAGCACCAGCACTGCCATTTCAGAGGAATGCCTGAGTAAGTCAGACTTCTTACCTTGGCAAAGATGGTGCGTGATAATTTGGCTCGCCTGCCCCGCCTCGTCACACCACTGCAAGGCTCAATCAAGGTTTTATGACTGGACAAATGAGCAAAGGGCTATTATTTAGAAAAGAAATCGTCTTCTGAGATACAAGTTATTCTAAAACTAAGTTTAAAAAATTCACGTGGTACATAGGAGGATTCTTGGGTTGCAAGTAACAGAAACCAGCACAATCAGTCTTAATTTAGGATTGAATTACTTTGTATATTAGTTTTCTTTCCTTCTTTTTGTTGCAGACAGAGTCTCACTATGTAACCCAGACTGGCCTTGAACTCCTGCCTCAGCCTCCTAAGTGCTGGGATTACAGGCATGTGCAATCATGGCCAGCTGTGTATTAGTTTCCTTTTGCTGCTATAACAAATGACTGCAAATGCAGTGGCTTAGAACAACACAGATTAATCATCTTACAGTTCTGTAGCTCAGAACACTGACATGAGTCTCACTGGTTTAAAACTCGAGGCTTCCACAGGGCCGTGCTCCTGCATGCTCCAGGAGAAAATCCATTTCCTTGTCTTTTCTAGCATCCACATTTCTTGGCTTGAGGCCCCTTCCTCCATCTTTGAAGCTAGCAACACAGCATCTCTCTGACTCTGTCTGCCTCTGTCTTCCATTCTAAACTCCCTAGTGGTTACCTTGGGCCCACCAGAATCATCCAGGATAATTTTCATAAAGCCAGCAGCCAAACAACCTTAACTACCTAAGGTTCTCATAGATTCTGGGGGTTAAGAGATGGACATCTCTGGGGGGCACTACTCTGCCTGCCACAACTCAGGGTTCTCATGAGGGCCTCAGAAAGGCCCTAGAGACTGGGGTGGGGACTGGATTAGGAAGTAGCAGACAGTTGTCCCTCTGCCCTTTTGGGCATCTCCTGCATTTTCTCTCTGAAGACCTGTTCTTCTGTCTGCTTGGCAGATCACAGCCTGTTCAAGTTTTAAACCAAATCAGATAGGAAGGAATCTTTTATTTTTGAGCTCCCAGGAGAAAATCTAATTGGCCCAGCTTGGGTCAGAAAACTGCATCCATGTCTGTTGCTGGGTACAAATATGGCTGCCAGGTCCTATGGCTGTGGATAAGAAGACAGGAGGACAGGTTCCAGCCTGGCTTTTTTCTTTCTCACTTTTTTTTTAGGCCCCTGAAAAGCAGGGTGTAAACTATTTTCACAGATTCAATTTCAAAAGCACTAGAAGGCTGTCATTTAAAACAATCTTTTTGTAAACAGTGGTGTTGGATAGTGAGTAGATTCTTACCCAAGCTTTTCTTAAAGAGAAGCACACCTTAGCTGGTAGCTGACTCCTACAATTCTAGGTACTTGGGAGGCAGAGATCAGGAGGCTCAAGATTCAAAGCCAGACTGCGCAAATAGTTCATGAGACCCTATCTCAAAAATACTCAACACAGGGCTGGCAGAGTGGCTCCAGTGGTAGAGTGCCTGCTTAGCAAGCGTGAGGCCCTGAGTTCAAATCCCAGAACCACAAAAAAAAAAAATACCCAACACAAAACAGGATTGGCAGAGTGGCTCAAGTGGTAGGCCACCTACCTAGCACCATGAGGCCCTGAGTTCAAACCCAAGTACCACCAAAGAGAGAAAGAGAGAGAGAGAAGCACATGATTTATGTAATGTCATACTGCAAAGGTGGCGGGGACACCTTGGGCACTGCCTGTTGGGCTCTGCAGGGACAGGCCATGAGTTTTAGGCTCATCAGGCCTCAGGCCTCAAGGCCTCAAGGCCCCGAGGCTCCAGGGGCAGAGCAATGGAAGAAGTTGTGGATGTCCAAGAAGCTGTGTTCCACCGTGAAGGGCAAACCAGAGTTGGACTTAGAGCTTGCAGTCTGGCAAGCTCCCATAGTTCCCATAGGTGTTTGGGGAAAAGCACAGGGAACTATCGCATTTGAATGGGGACCTGACAAATTTCAGGATCCTTTGATCTGTAGGGAGAGGAAGTTGAGGCCAGACTGGGGAGCACAGGAGAATGTTCTGAGCAGAGGTAACTGGATGAGCAAGGTTCCAGTGAGAAGTTTGGGGAGCTCAAGGGCATGAGAGGGAACCAGAGCCAGTACAGCACCAGGGAGCACACAGGGCTGGCACGCCTCATGAAGACAAAGGACTTTTTAAGATCCCCTAGTCCAGCATGAAGATAGGAGGGTATGAGGATCCAAGGGACAGAGGTCTCTCAGCAGCTTAAGTACCCAGCCCAGGTATCTTTTTGGGAGAGAACGCTGAGGTCAGGCCTTCTGAGAGTATGAGAGGCTGTAATGGCCCTGGGGTGGCGTCCCCTCTTGGAGTGCAGCGGGCACATCAGAGGCAGCCGCTTGCTCGTTTACGAGTGACTCACTCACTGGCAGGAGGGCAGGGTGTCTGAACTGGCAGGACAGAGACCTTTCTTCAGTGTAGTCATCACCTCACTAAGTCCCTTCCCCATCCGTGCTGAAGGGATCAGGATGAGTTCTGGGTGATGAAACCCAGGAGTGCCCGGTGTCTCTGCTGTCCTTCCCTGCCCTCCCTCACAGCTGAGGCGTCTGCGGTCAGGAGGTCTGGCTCTCACTTGCACCAACATGCTGCTGCTAGGAAGGTGAGGTGGGGCTGGAGTGAGGTGTGTGCAGAACCCACGAACACCAACGAGCTGCCAGGTCAGTGTAGACAGCGGGCCTGAGAGGACAGCCAGAGCTAAAAGTATGAGCACAGGCAAAGTTGGCAAGGGGTTAGCAGGGAGCAGAAGGGAAGAGCAGGAACATTTCTAGGAAGCCTAGAGGACCAGGAGAGACCAGAAACCAGCAGGTGCTAGGACTGCCTCAAACCTGCATCAGCTTGGGAGTATTATCAGCCTTTTGTGCAAACAAAATAAGATGCTGGCCAACTAATTCAGCAATTCTCTTCAACAACTATGTAGTGAAATTCAAGAGAGAGAGAGATCTGGCATTACATGTGGGGTAGGGGAGGTTCAGGAAGACTTCTGGCAAGCTAACTCTACACATGGACTTAAAAGGTAAATGTGACTTAGCCTTCTCGATTGGGGTAGAAGTTTCAGGTGAAGGTCACAGCCCACCTAAAGGTGAAGAGCAGTGAACAGTGGTGCTCCATGTAGGCAGAGCTGAACTGTGACCAGTGTGGCAAGCCACATTGGAGTTTATACCCTGATCCTGACAGCCATCCACACAACCACACCACACACTGTGACACCTAAAAGGAGTGCAATAAATGGTGACCAATGGCCGAATGAGTGGACGGACACAAACATGGAGCTTGTGATGGATTTTCCTAACTTTTAATGGTTCCTGCAACTGAAATGCCCATTAATTGTACTAAGTCTTCTGTTTCACATTAGAGGTGAAGGATTAAACCTGCAGCCACTGGTCACGCTAACAAACTCACTGCAAGAGTAGCGGGACTGCAGACAGAATCAGCCCCTCGCCTGGTTGAGAAGGGCACTGGGAAAGGTGAAGCAAGTGGATGGGAAGGATAGACGGGAGATCACCTCGTCTTGGCTGGAATCTCTTCTCTGCTGAGAGGATTCAGTAAGAACGAGGAGTTTGGGTTTATTATTACATTTCATTTATAAGGTGGTTGTCCCATCCCAGTAACTCCATGGGAAGGTATATGAAGATGCTATAGACTGCGATAGTTTGTGTGGTTAGAGGCAGGGGTAAGCATCCTATAACAGGGTCAGTGCGTCTCTCCTATTTCTGTGCAGCTTGTGAGCAAGGAGCTCAGTGCTCTGTTTCAGGCTGTCTTCTGGTTTTGCTGGTATTTTAACGAAGGGCCTCACACCTGCTAAGCAGGAGATCTACCACTGGAGCCACGCATCCAGACTTCTTGTGCTGTATTTATTTTTCAGGTAGGGTCTTGTGTTTTTCCCTGGGCCTGGCCTTACACTGACCCTCCTACCTTCAGCAGGAGGGACCACAGACATATGGCACTGTGCTTGGTTGTTGGCTGAGATGGGGTTTCACTAACCTTTCACGTTTAGGTTTCACTAACCTAACTTGAACCACAACTCCGACTTTTGATTAGGTGGGATTATAGGTGTGAGCCACCTTTCCAGACTAATGTTCCAGACTGTCTTTCCAGGATATTTGCATAGCAAATAGCCTTAAAGAGGAAACAGGGTCTCCTTCTGACGGAAGGGAAAGCATGCTTACTGCCCATTGAACTTCCTAAACTCAGGGCTCCTCTCCTGTAAAGTCAGTCGGTCACACAGGGCAGTAAAGCATGTTTATTGTGTGACTGGAGGCCTTTGTGTGTATCCACACGCAATCCCTTTGGGACCTGGAGGTAAGAGAAGCTCATGCAAATCTGCTAAAGCCTCTGCTCCTTGCTGGGCCCTGAGTGATGGAATATTTTGTCCCTTACTAGGAGTCTCCTGTTGTCTGCCAGCATCCAGGAACCTACAGTAGGCTGATTTGTTAGCTTGTAAGTAAGGTAAAGTCTGACTCTCTGCAGTTCTCAACACACCCTTCCTAGGTTGACTCTCTTTTCATATTCTTGGTCTTCCCTAATGAATGTACCTGAAAAACTCAGGATTTCACATTTGCTAGGCAGGTGCTCTACCACTTGGGCCATGCCCTTAGCCTTTTTGCTCTGATTATTTTGGTGACAGGGTCTTGCTTTTTGCCCAGACTGCATGGACCATAAACCTATTTTACACTTCCCACTGTAACTGGAATGACAAGTGCTCACCACCACTCCCAGCCCAGTTCAGTAACTGTTTTTTAAAGAACCTCACCCCAAAATCTAAAAGCCTCCTGCTGTGGTTGTGGCTTGAATATGAAATGCCCCTTACAGACTCATTGTAGAAGGCCTACTATTTGGAGGTGGCAGAAAGTGCAGGAGGTGGCCTACCTGAAGGAAGGTCATTGAGGTCATGTCCTTACGGCTGGATCTTGTCCTGGGCCTCTGTGTCTCTTTCTCTTCCTGGCCACCACGAGGTGAGCAGATGTGCTGAGGCGGATGGAAACCTTGGAAACTGAGCCAAAATAAAACTTTCCTTCCTTAAAGTTAGGTCGGGCATTTTGTCACAACAATGAAAAGCTAACACACCACCTTTATATACTTTCTCTATACATATCTTCTAGGTAGGCCATGATACTGTACTTAAAGGGGAGAGCACAAATCGAAAAAGAAAACACAAAGCAACAAAACTGAACAGAGATGGAGCAATCTGGGGAGAAGCTGTTTTAGAAAACATAAATAATCATTTTCCTTCACAATTTCCCATGTTGAGGCAGCAACTCCTGTTGCTATTTCCTGAAGAAAACAGGATGATTAACGCAGTGCAAGATGGTTTTGCTTTTAAGCGGACTTCTGCGCCAAGATCGGTATCTCTATATGGAACTGATTTTCAAAAGGACAAAAATGGTCTTTGATCTTTCCAAACCACTTGTCTTCAAATTCTTTCAAGGATGCAGTCACCAGGGCAGTTAGGGCTGCAGGGCCAATACACTTCACCTCCAAGTGAACTTCATCCTTTATATTTTCTGGGATGATATCCTCTCCCATAATCTGCAGCAGGAGAAAAAGAAAACCAAAATGAAACTGTCCCAGCTAAAGAAGACATGGAATGGAAGACTGTGCTATTCATCAACCGTAAGGCTTTTCCACAAAACATGTCAGCAGTCAGGGATGCTTCAACAACTCCAAGGCTCATGGATAAATCTGCCCTGTTTCCACTCTCATCCTTGCAGTCCTAACATGGCAGCAATGCCATCCAGCTTCCTGGCACACAGAGTCAGCCTTTTAGATCAAAGACATTCTGTTGACAAGAAGGTCGCTGGGAGAGATGCTCCCTCCTGGTAAACGGCTGAAAAAGGCTGGGCAGAACTTGGGCAAAATATGACTGTGGCTGTCTGTGTGGTAGTGGCGGGAGCACAGACATATCTCCTGCAAGTTCTGAATCAAATAGTAAGTTGCTGGGACCACTCTTTGCCAACCCAGCAATCTGGGACTTTTGGAGCGCATTTGCCCAATGAAGGCACAACGCTGCTCCCTACTGGTCAGGATCAGGCCCCAGCCAACACCCAGTCAAGTCCTTGGACTATGAGTTAATTTCTCTTTGATAAGACATCACAAAGGTAGGCTCTAAAATGCCTGTACTGAACCCACTCAGTGATCAGCCCATCTCTGGTAATGACAGTGAACTAAAATCATGGTCAAACACATTTCACATCCTTGATGTGAAAGTTCATGCAGCATCTAGCAGGACGCTGTACAGAAAATTTGTTAGTGGATTTGGGACTGGATGGTTTCTATGGTCCTACAAATCCAGACATCCAATGTGCTCACAAAAACTCTAGTTAGAAGCTCAAAGAATGGTTTCCACTGGGTTTGAATCTTCACAGATTACAAAGTTCTGAGCAAATTGCCAATGAGATGCTATTTCATCAGTTCTAAGACACTTTCCATTTTTTCATTCTATCATCTCTGAAATCAAGATGTATATTATAACTACTGGTATGTCATAGTGTCAATGGCATGTTAGTATTCTTTTGGTGGCGTCGAAAAATTATGTATTTTACAATTGATTACATTTTGGATACAGTGAACAAGTATTTTTAAAGCTAGGCTTAAACACGAAAAAAAGTCATTCTTCAAAAATAAAAAATGAGGTAGGTAGGGGTGTAGCTCAAGTGATGAGTGCTTGTCTAGCAAGTACAATGTCCTGAGTTCAAACCCCAGTACCACCAAACTAAACAAAAATAAAAAAGAGGCCAGGTGTGGGGGTTCACTCCTGTAATCCTAGCTATTTGAGAGGAAGAGATTGGGAGGATTGTAGTTCAAGGTCAGCCAAGGCAAAAAGTTCACAAGACCCCCATCTCAACCAATAGCTGATTGTGGTGGTAAGCGCCTGCCATCTAAGATACAGCAGGAAGCACAAACAGGAGGATAGAGGTTCAGGCGAGCCTGGGCAAGAACAAGAGACCGTATCCCAAATAACTAAAGCAAAAGGGCTGGGGGCATGGTTCACATGGTAAAGCTCAATGCCCAGGACCAGCAAAAATAAATAAAATAAAATACACATGGAAATGTCACAAGGAAACTCCCTGGGCAGCTATCTTAAACAAACAGAAACATCTTTTTGCAAAAATGAAGGACAGGAAGGTAAAAACTGGTCTTGTCTGGGGGCTGGTACCAGTGGGAGAGAGGAGGATATATAGGGAAGTGGTGAAGGAGGAGGAATACGGTGGGAATATTATGTACTCATGTATGAAAATTGAAAAATGAGACCTGTTGAAACTATTCTAAGAAAGGGGAAGGGAGTTAAAGGAGAATGATGGAAGGTGGAGCGAGCTTTTTCTCGCTCCCTTGTTATTACTGAACCTAACTGGGGCTAACTGGGGGTGAGTGGAGATGCAGAAAAGACAGGATAGACAGACAGACAGAAAGTGGGATCAGGTGTGATGGGTTCTTAGGTGGGACACACAACCCTCATTGCTTCTTTTCTGTATTATTCTCTTCTCTTCACTCTGCTTCTTTTCTCTATCTTTATTCTTTAAGGCCTTACTCCTTTACAGTTCTTTAAAACCTTGCTTCTAAAAGTCTTTCCTTAAAACCTTGCATAAAAATCTCTTTCCTTAGACTCGCTCTTTAGCTTTTTTTTAGCATAATCTCTCTTAAAGTCTTTGCCCCCAGACTTGTACTGTCCCATGTTCTCGTTAGCTTTTCTTTAAGTCTTGGCCCTCAGGCTTGCTAGCAATCCCCCTTTAGCAATTCTTTCCCCTTCAGTAATCCTCCCTTCAATTCATTTTCCCCCTTCAGCAATCTTCCTCCAGCACTTTCCCTTCAGCAATTCTTTTCCCTTCCAAAGCCTCCCACATCAAAAAGCCTCCCTTCATCCAAAAGCCCAAAACCAAAAGCCTCAGGACACCTTCAGCAAGAGTCTTTTATATCCGGTGGTAAACAAGGTGGAGCAGTGGTTCTTGGGGAGGGGCATGGCATTGTAGCAAGAGAAACCTGCGCTCCTGCTTCTCTGAACATAAACAACTCAGGAGAAGCAGCTGTTCTGCATTTCCCTCTTCTGTGGCTGGGGGCTGTGCCAATCTCAGCCTACAGATAAACATCTTAGGAAAAGCAACTGAGCTGCATCTCGCCTTGCTTATGTCCAGTTCTCATAGGCTTCTCATAATCCACTCTCCACAGAGGGGGTGAATTAAACTAAAGATACATTGTAAGCATTTTTTGAAAATGTCACAATGTACCCCCAGTATAATGACAATAATATAATAAAATTTTTTTAAATGAAAAAATAAAAATAAAAAAGAAACTACTAATGCCAGGCATGGAGGTGCACACTGGTAATCCCAGAACTCAGGCAGAGGCGAGACCATCACATCAAGGCCAGCCTGGGCTACACAGTGAGACTTCTCTAGCCCCTACCCTCCCTCAAAAAGAAGTTACTTGGGAGGTTGATGCAGGAGAATCAAAAGTTCAAGGTCAGCCTGAGCAACACAGGGGAACACATTTAAACTAAATACATACCTACATAGAATGACAGTAATATTTAAACAAAAAATTCCAAAAAGAGGGATAGGCAAGTAAAATATTCACAGGTATCAAAAACTCTGCCAAGCACTATTCACAATAGCCAACTTACGGAAACAGCCAAGATGCCCCACTACAGACCAATGGATTAAGAAAATTCATTTATATGGATTTTGTATAAATGATATTTATGCACAATGGAATTTTACTCAGACATGAAGAATGAAATCTTATCATTTGCAAGTAAATGGATGGAACTGAAGAACATCATTCTAAGGCAAGGTTAGCCAGGCTCAGAAGACCAAAAATCGTATGTTCTCCCTCATCTAGGGCAAATGCAGCAATGTGGTTGGACTTGGGTCACACGCTAAGGGGAGAGCACATACAGGAGGTTTGGGGATAGGTAGGAAACCCAAAACATGAGTGTCTGATGTCCCCACTTCAGAGGAACTAAAACAGTAACCTTAAAGCGACAGAGGTAAACATGGGAAGGGGATCAGGAACTAGTGAAAAGGTCAGGTAGAGGTGAATCAACTTGGGTTGTAACGCATTTGTACATGGAAGCAATGCTAGGAATCTCTCTGTATAGCTATCCTTAAGTCAGCTAGCAAAAACGCTTTGTCTTTCTTATTATTGCTTATGTTTTCTCTTCAACAAAATTAGAGATAAGGGCAGAACAGGTTCTGCCTGGAAGCGAGGGAGGGTGGGGGGCAAAGAAGGGGGAGGGGGCAGGGGGGAGAAATGACCCAAACAATGTATGCACATGTGAATAATGAATAAAAAATTAAAAAAAAAAAAACTCTGCCAAAACATTTCATATATAAAAATTTAAAACTTCATGTTAAAAAACGCTTATACTTAAGAAAATATTGTAACATATACAAGGAAAGTAAGTTTAATATGAAGAGTACTCTAAAAATTACTAAGAAAGCAGAAATTAATCAAGAAAAAACATGACTAGACATTTCACTAAATACAAATGGTCAATAACGTGAAAAAATGATTCATATTCATGGTAATCAAAGAAATAAACATTAATACTAAAAATATAATTTTAACCTACCAAACTGAAAATTATATAAGAAATAATACTAATTATTAGTAATTATAATTAGTATTCAACTTAGTAAATTGCTATTTTATAGGTGAAAAAAGTGAACAAATTTCTTTTTTCTTTTTTTTTTTTTTTTGAGACAGGGATTCTGTAGCCCACATTAGCCTGAAATTTACAATCCTCCTGACTTTGGTGCCCAAGTGTGCACTGCCATGCCTGGCAGACAATTTCAAATGGTTGAATCTATTATCTAAGGTTGTGGTAGGAAAACCAGTGCTCTCATATCCTGCTGGAGGATTGTAAAGTGAACCAATTTTCATTTGTTTGGTGGCACTGGGGTTTGAACTCAGGATCTTCTAGACAGGTGCTCTACCACTTGAGCCACCCTGCTAGCCTTTTTTTTGTGTTGCATATTTTTGAGATAAGGTCTCATTTTTTCTTTTTTGCCTGGGCTGGCCTCAGACCATGATCCTCCTGATCTCTGTGTCCCAAGCAGCTAGAATTACAGACGTGAGTCAGTGACACCCAGCTTGAATCAATTTTCTGAATGGCAATTTGGAAATGTACTTCAAATCTTTAAAGTATTCAAGGATTTGAGCCCAATGAGTCTATTTTTAATAAACTAAAAAGTATAAATGTATACATTGATTTTTTTGTAGGACTTACTAAAACAGGTACTAAATATCTGTTAAATGTTCAACAAAGGGGAATAATAAATTACAGTTCATACAAAAATTGGACTGCTATCTAGCCATTAAAAATTGTTGGTGCAAAGTGTCTGTTTGAGATAACAAACAAATTTTGGCAATATAGTGGTGATGGTGGGACAATACTGTAAATATACTTATGGCCAATAAAAATTTCTTAAGAAGGCAAATCTTAAAAAAAAAGAGGGAAAGAGAACTGTTACTGAAGAAAAGAGATACAAGACACAAAAGAACCAACTACAGTATGTGGACCTTATTTGGATCCTAACTTAAATAAACAACTGTAAACAGAAAAAAACCCTATGTAATCAGAGAATATTCAAGGGTATAGGATCGTACTCATCTCACAAGTAAAATGCAGGGAGTAAACATGAATCTTTAATGGCAGTGGGGTTTACCTAGGGCCTCACTCTTTCAAGTGGTAGAACAGCTGCCTAGCAAGCATAAGGCTCTGACTGCAAACCCCAGTACTGGCCAACCCCCCAAGGCACAGTTCTTGCTTATAAGGAACCTAACAAAAGAGGAGACAGATTCTTGTACCATTTTGGGGCTTGTTATGGCTTGGATCTTAAATGTCCTGAAAGGTCATGTGGTAAAGGCTTGGTTGCCTGTAATACTACTAGAAGGCAGAACAACCTTTGAGAACTGGGGCCTGATGGAAGGGAGGTCACTTGGGGGTGTGCCTTGAAGGAGCCATTGAGACCCCAGCCCCCTTACCTCTCTCCTTCTGCTTCCCTGCCACCATAAGGGAGCAGCTGTGCTCTATCCTGTGCACAGCTGTACACCATGATGTTCTCTCCTCACTGGGGCCCAAAACAATGGTGTCCAGTGACCATCAAGTGAAACCTCTGAAATCACGAGCCAAAATAAAGCTTTCCTTTTTATGTTAACTATCTCAGGTGTTTTGTCACAGTAATGGAAAGCTAACACAGGGTTCACAGGACCATCTACCAAGCAATTGCTTTATCTGAGCTCAGGCAGGAAAGGAGTATCGCTTGAGCCCAGGAGTACAAGACCAGCCCTGACAACACAGCAAGAGAAAAACGGTCAGGGACAAAGACAGAGAAGGGAAGGGAAAAACAAAGGATGAAATACAGGAGAAAACCAGAATAATGTAGGCTCTCCAAAATAAAAGGAAGAAGGCTTTAAAAGGCTTTTGACAATTACAAATGGCACAGGAAGATAAAGGAAAACGAAGACTAAGGAAAGGATGAAAAGGCAACCTTACCTTACACAGGGGCCTATGTATGTCTGTGGGCCCAAGGAAGAGGCCCATGGAGGGCAAAAGTTGAAGACTAGGCAAACAGCCTGATTCCAGAACAGAAAGAAGGCTGAAAATGAGATGGCTTAACTGTGGGAAGGAAGCAAAGCCTACTCCTGGAAAGACTGACATAAGGCTGTATGTGCAGTCATTCCAATGGCAAGCATCTGAGCTGTGACACTAAGCACAGACTGAAAGGAAGTAGCGTGAAGAGCTGAAACATAAACAATTTCCCAGGGCCATCCTAAGAAAGGTCAATATAGAGCAGCTGCTCCGACAGCATCAAGCCCTGAGTTCAAACCCCAGTCCCGCCAAAAAAAGGGTCAACAATATGCTTTACAAAAAGCCAACTTAAAAATGCTAAAAAAAGTTTTCAAAAAATGGCATTTACATTTCTCTGCAACCATCAAAGCAGATAGGATGGAGCAGAAAAGAAAGGGACTTGCAGCTGGCCCACCTATAAGACCAGCTCTGCCACTGAAAAGCAGTCATGACCTCTAAGCCTCAGTTCATTGTAATGATGAATGGAGAAAAAAGTATACAAAACTGCCACAGGAATACGGCACTGCCCATTAGCTTACAGTTCAGCACTGAAACAAACAAACCAGGCGCTTAGCACACTCAAGCAGGCGTGCTAACTGGCTGCTAAGCACAAGAGATACAACCCCTGTGTCTACCACCCCACAGGGGAAAGATGAGGAAGGGGCCATTTTGGTGGCTGTTAGTGATCAAAAGGCACAAAAAGGAGGAAGACAAGGGTCTTTCCACCCATGAAATTTGACCCAGGTTTTAGAAAACAGTATTAGAGCCAGGCAAAATATCTATGATGACTTGTTTCATACAAACCCAAGGGGACACACTTACCTCAGTGACCAACAGCAAAGTGTCTTCTTTGAAGCTGAATTCTTTCATTTTATCTTTGATTTCCTGCTGAGTCTTTAAGTTCTTCTCCAAAGCAAATGATGTTTGCTGAGGTTGGGTGAGCTGAAGCAAAAGCCTGAAAAACCAAAAAGCTCCAATGTGCAGCTCCACTCCAGGTCAGCTGCAAAGATGAGCTCCTTACAGAACCAGGTAGCCAGTGGGCTGTGAGTCCACCAAGATTGGAGAAGGCCTGCCCCCACTACAACTACCACTGACATCCCTATGGCTCCTTACTCTGAATAAACTGGCCCTTGCCATAGAGACTCGGTCATCTGCTCTAACATTAACAGACTGAAACTTCTCAAAGAAAGAGTTAGGGAGCAACAGCTCAAAAGAGCTTCCTGTGGAAAGCAGTTGCCAAAAGCAAAAATAATGTCGTGAGAAAAACAAGCTTCCAGTCAGACTCCTGCCACACGGGTGTGCTGGGTATGTCCTCTGATGCCAGTGTTCGATGACACTTCCTTCCCAGTCCACACAGCAACTGGATTGCAAGAACTACTCAGATTCAATACCAACACAGGGCCAAGCCTTTGATGACCTCTGACCACTTTGCAATTGCCTCTCTACCAGCATCCCCATTGCAGTCCTAACCTGGTCACCACGCTTATTCTCCCCTCCTCCTCACGTCTTCATGAAAGTGCAGATCTTCCCACTTCTCTCTGGCCTCAATGGGCCCTATGTCTTGCCAGAAGCAATCATTATATACACCGAGAAATGTGCACACACAGCTCCGGGTGCTGAGGTTGTGGGGAGCCATCTTGTTCCATGACAGGAGAGGCAGCGTGTGAGTAATTCAGACAGTGACAAATGCCCTGAAAGAATCCACGGCAGGGAGGCTGCAGCACCTCCTTCACCCAGGGAAGCACAGGAAGGCTTTCCAGAGACACCCTCAAGTTAGGACCTACGTGACAAGGGGCCAGAGGCAGAAAATGTGAGGGACGGCCTGGCCAGGGAAAGGAGGTCTAACACATGAACCAGCTTGATGTGTGGGAAAATCAAAAAGCTCATCACTGTGGCCAGAGCACAGGCAGGGGAGGGAAAAACTACAGAAAATGAGGTGAAAAGCAGGGCCAACCCAAATAAGCCCTGGTCAGCCATGGAAAGACATGTTGCTACGGTCTGGATGTCCCTCAAAACTCATGTTAATCCAGCTGCCAGTATGATGGGACAGCGTGATCAGAGTGACCAGCCTAGGGGGTGGGGGACTGGAGGGGGTGATCTAACCAATGGATAGTGTAAGGAAGGCTATACAGAATTGTCACAAATCCCGGTACAATGAATATATGCTAATACAAATAATAAAAAGAAAAAGAGCGAGCAGCCTGAATGGATTAATGCTGCTATCTCGACAGTGGGCTCCTGATAAAAAGGACGGGTTCCTCCACTTTCCTCTCTCTTGCCATGTGATATCCTCCACCATGATTTGGCACAGCAAGAAGGCCCTCGCCAGAGGCTACATCCAGAGCTGTGGACATCAACTTCTTTCCTTGGTAATAGACCCAGTCCGTGGTATTCTGCTGCAGTAGCAGCAAAGAGATGAAGACAGATGTGGAATCAACTCAAGTGTGATAGGAGGCCACTGCGTGTTATAAAGGAGCAGGGCCCAGTGCTGTCCTTGTAGATCCTTCCCTGTCCACATGCCTGGCCGGCCTCAGGGAGCTTTCACATTTGTGCCCCCTTTCCACACTCACTTTCCTTCCTTTCACGCTGTAAGTGACTTGAAAACATGGTTTGTATTTCTCCTTCCACTTCATGTTCATTCATTCCTCAACCTTCAACACTCTGCAGTGGGCTTTGCCACTGCATCCCTCTATTGAAACTGCCTTCTCAACGGTCATAAACAACCTCCTCATTTTCAAACTCTCTTCTGAACTGACCACCCGATCTCTCTCTACCACCTGACTGCTGATGTCCTTCCTGACACTTTTGAACCTCTAGCTCCCTCCTTCTGAGCTCGACTCCCATTTCCCAATGAAGAGCTCTGGCTGCATGTCCTCCAAGCACCTGACTCTCAGGCATCAAGCCCAAGTCATTCCTTTCATTCCAAATATGCCCTGCTCATCCTTCTGGATACCCCATCCAGTGAAAGATATGACCATCCACCTGACACCCACGACAGACTCTTGGAGTCTTCAGTGTCTTTCCTTATCCCTGTTCCCATCTGTCCACGATTCAGCTGGTACCCTGTCCTGTCTGTTTCACTGCAGGGACACCCTTTTCTTCTTTTTTTACTACCACTGCCCCATCCTAGGTCAGACCCATCACTGTTCACCAATATCCCACCTCCTCCTCACTAGGGTTCCTAGCTCCAAATGCCTTCTTCTAGCCTATACCTCCAGCCACCAGATCTACCTATCTGAATCACAGCTCTGATCAGACCAATATGCAGAGCCTTCAAATAGTCTTCAGGCCCTCAGCACAAGGGCCAAACCCTTTAAGATGACACCTAAGCCAATGTGTTAGTGCATGCCTGTGATCCCAGCATTCAGGAGGATGAGGCAGAAGCATCACAAGTTCAAGGCCATCCTGGGCTACACAGCAAGTTCCAGCCCAATTTAGACTACACAGTGAGGCCTTATCTCAACAAAATAAAACAAATAACACCTAATATCTGTACTTATAATAAAAACAAAAACAATGAAAATACTAATAGCTAACATTTACCAAATGTCTATTATATACCATGCAATACAATAAGTACTTTAGATAGCCTATTTCTACAACCCACAAAATAGGCATTTTCCCAGTCTTCCCTCTGACCATAGGAAGAATCCAGAGCTTAAAACATACATAACTTGGGCAAGGTCACACAGCTGGTCAGTGGAACAGTCTAGGTGCATTTGCTCAACATCAGCAGTTCTTCAAAATCAGATCTGACTCCAACGTCTACCTCCTGCTTCTACTGCCCTCTGGCATCATGGTCTACAGCTCCACCACAACGCTGCTCTTGCCACCAGACTATGTGGCTTCTACACCAGCTCCTCTGCTCTTTGGGCCATGCTTTCTTTCTCTCTACATTACATGCTTGTCCTACCTGGAGAATATTACACGGAGTGAACAAGACAACCTGGAAGGACTGTGTCCAGCCCTGGTCCAATACAGCATAGCTGTACCATTTGGGGAAGGATTTTAATAGCTTCCTAGGCCATAAAGTGAGATCTTGGCATGTATGGCAGAGAATCATAGGATTAAAAATGAAATAACATATGCAAAGCCCTTCGTACTTAGTGGTCAGCTGACAGGCATTCCTCCCTAGAACATTCAGCTGCAGCGCATCCCCAGTAAAGGCTTCTTCTCCTGCCACACCAATGGCTCCTTACAGTGGACCCCATGAAGTTCTGCTCACACGACAATCTATTACTTAGAAGCTGTTCCAGGCACTGGCCAAAGGTGTACTCTTCCAGTCCAATGCATGTGGGAAGAAAGAGACTGGTTTTTTGTTTTTGTTTTTTTTTAACCATTTTTGTGGTCCGAGCACAAAGTACTTGGCACTAGTAATTCTAAAAAAAAATGACAGTCAACATGAAATAAACATCTGCTAAGTAAATTTCAGAATTTACCAAAGAGATGCCACTTCTTGATTGAGTCTCACTGTTAATATGTCTTGGATTGTCCAGGTTAAAAATAATCTCTATGTTCCCATAAGCGTTTCTGTTTCTTCTCTTCAAATTATAGAACTGGTCAAGTGAAATCTTTATGCCTTATAAATCTTTGTACCCCCTAAATCTTTATACCTTAAGGATCCAAAGCACTTGGAGTCCCTAGAGGCAAACTATGGGAATTCTCTATGGAATTAATTAAGCACTGTACATTCAGATTATCAGCAATGTAAACACACAAGCAGATTTTCTTCAGATTTCTGTGGAATATATGAGTAAGAAATGCTTTCTTTAAAACAGCTCTTCTCTTTTCAATGTTTGATAGTTAATTTTCCCAACTTTTTAGTGTTTTCTAATTTAAACAATTCCATCTTGAGCACCGATAAAATTTGTGTTCTTGAACAGATGGAATAATGTTTCTAAGTCTCGCATACAGAAATGACACATGTTCAAAGGGTCCCAGCTAGATCATAGGAAAGTTCAAAAACACACACCAAGCCCTGGCTTACAACTTTCTGAAGGTTAAAAATGAGCTCATTCCCAAGTGCTGCCATAGGCACTCTTGGCTTACCTGGCTCGGATCAAGCAGGCACATGCTTTCATCTGAGTCTCTGCCCACACTGCTTCTCTCCTTTCTGCTATACAGTTTGGAATATCTGTAAGAGCTTTTTCAGCTTGCTGGCTGCCTGCTTCCATGGAAAACACCAAGCTCTCAGGCAAGGTTTCAGGGAAACACAAAAGATGGTCTTTTCTTGAGTGTGGAAAGGAAGATTTGATAGTTTTGTCATGTGAGGTGAAACTGCTCTGTCTCTGAGATGACGCAAATGAGGCTGAAAGAGTTGGCCCCAGACTCAGGTAAGCCTCTGCCAATTTGCCCCAGCTCCAAGGATTAAAAGGATGCAAAGAAATCAGTTTTTGCAGGCAGAAAATTGTTTTCTCCAAGTTCTGCAAACTTGAGCAAATAGCAAACTGGAGGTAGAGCACTGTGGTTAAATGGTCTGTATTGGTTGCTTTATTTTCCTGAGGAGGAAAAAAAAGATAAAAAACCTTAAGCTGCAAAACATTTTCCATATAAAAATAAGGATGCCTAAAAACCCATTACATATGTTATAAATCAGAAGTATCTTTCAGTAGCTACACAAGTCAAATGAACTAATGCTTCATCAGATTTCATGTCTGAAGCCACACACCTAGAGAAATATATATTACCTACCAGAACAGTCACAGCCATTACCGAACATCCTAACGTCACAATGAAACAGCAGTCCAAAGCTGGTGCCAGTGGCTCACACCTGTACTCCTTGTTACTCAGGAGGCAGAGATCAGGAGGATCATGGTTCAAAGCCAGCCTGGGCAGATAGTTTGCAAGACCCTACCTCGAACAAATTCATCACAAAAAAGGGCTGATGGAGTGGCTCAAGGTGTAGGCTCTGAGTTCAAACCCCAGTACCAGTACCACAAAAGAGGAAAAAAAAAAAAACGGCAGTCCATGTGGCCTGACAAAGTTCAGCAGCAAAAATATAATTGTCAGTTTATTTTCCATTTTATCACAAACTTTACAGTCTTCAGCCACATATCTGAAAAGACCCCAACCAATTTGCTTAAGACCCTGGCCTAATGGTTCCACTTCAACACTGGAGGTTTTTGAAAAGCCCAGAAGGTAATCTCCTCGAGGATCTGAGCAAGCTCCATCTGCATGTGATGTGGCTTAGGATCTCGCCCAGGACAGGCCCGCACTCTCGACACTTCACAGTACACCATAACGGAATCCAAATGCCTTCCCAGCCAACTATTTCTGGCTAGAGGTTACTTGGTTTCCTTCTAATCAGAAAACTCTTTTCAAGGCTCCTTAACCAAAGCCACCAGCTCTTGCCTAGCCTTGGCAAGAGGCTACAGCAAAGGCCTTCTGGGATAAGAATAACAGGCTTGTTTTTTCTAAGTTAAAGTCTGCAGCGAGCAGATGGCAGAGTAAAATTACCTTCGAGCTGACGTGAAGTCTAAGGTAAGCCTGGCCAGCAAGTGTCCAAATCAACCAAGCATGAAACAGGAACCAAATTACCCAGCATGCATCCCAAAGACACTGGTAGACCAGGAAAGTGAAAGCCCAGATCGAGTAAGAAGGCATGAAATGAAGCCCCACACAACTTATCTGCTGATACCGTTCCTCCCAAAGACAGAGTGAACCTTGTTTTATTATTACTGTTTCGTGTCGGTCCTTCCCAACAGACCACTAAGGTCTGTGATAGCCTTATTCAGTGCTGAATTCTTGTATAGAGCACAGCTCCTCAGCCACCACAGATGTTAATGAGTAATGAATTTTCTGAAGTGGAATCATGTCTTTTATTTCTGATAAGAAAAGTAACATGTTTAGACTGCATCTATAACAAAAGCTACCCCTCTTCCGCAGCTAGTGTACAATGTTTTATATTGTTCAAAACCATTTTTGCATTGAGAAAGCAAGTGTGTGCTGGAGTGGAGGCTGTGACACAGATGCTAGAGTTTTGAATGCATGGATAATAAACTCCTCTTTGGAAATTAAATGTGTTGACTTGAGTTTGAGGGACTTATCCACAATACTGCAACTCTTGCAGTGAGATGAGAATAATGGTGACAGTGACCATATACTGAGTGTTTACCTTATGCCTGGCGCTACTCTAATTGTTTTACTCATTTAAGTTTTGGGACAATCTTTTAAAAATTGACTTTTTTTTTTTTTTTTTTGAGACAGGGTCTCATTAGGCAGCCCAGGTTGGCAGTGAACTCAAGATTCTCCTGCCTCAGCCTCTCAAGTACTGGGATTATAAGTATATACCACCATGCCCAGCTAGAGTGGAGTATTATCCTGTTTTAGAGAGGGTAACAGAGAGATTAGATAACTTGCCTGAGGTCACACAGCAGTAAGCAGCAAAACTATATCAGGTATACTAGACCTACAGACTTGCTGTCTGTTTTGCTCAACATTACATACTAACCTGGTCCTCTACAAGATGCAAGAGGACAACAGTCACTTTTTTTTTTTTTTTTTTTTTTTTGAGACATGCTCTTAATGAGCATGACAATATTCCCTTTATTAAGCATATCAAATCTCTTGGTACTCTGGGGAGCCTGTATTCCTGACACATCTTGTTCGTCACCCTGGTTCTTCACACACTTCAGTAATTGGCTGAGGGCTGATGAGCACAGGCATCGATTTGCAGCACTCAGCCAACTCCTAGAAAACCAGGCAGAGACATAGACGCCTTTAAGTTGAAAGTGGCACGCCAGAATGTTAAGGTCTGATGGGGTACAGATGAAGTAGCAAAAGTATCGGACAACAGTCACTGACACAAAAAATAGACATGGGCCAGAGCTAACAAAAGGAGGTCTTCAAATGGGGAAGAAATTTTAAAAACAAAACACAGACGAGTTATCAGGGAATAAGAAAACCTTGCAGATAGGCAGAGCCCATGGAACCCACAGAAAGGGGTAGCCCATTGCCCACTTTCCGTACCTCTAGCCCTCCCCAATAGGGAGCCTGGAAGGCCAGTGAACAATTCTGGGAGTTCTAACATGGCACCAAAGTCCTCTTACTGCCTTTCCCTGACAGTAAGCACCCTGAGCTATGGAGACCTGACATCTGTTGACTGACAGCAGACCCTTCTCTAAGCCTCAGAAACAGATGTAACCAGAGAACCACAGAAAACCCATCCAGCACTGCCTTCTATAACAAGGCAGTGAGGACAGAGTTCAAGAGTGCCATGTGAGATGGAGCTGACGGGACAGCGAGCACTGATGTCCAGAAAAAGTACTGAGGGGGCCCAAACTGCTAACAACCTGCAGACCAGGGAGGCTGGAAATGAGCACGATTAAGTCCCAAGTTCACAGCTCAGGCCAAGGCTGCCTGAGAAAGACCATCTACCTTTCAGATTAAGAATCAGCCCACAACTAGAGAAGGGGAAAGAAAGAACAGAGCTCAGCTGTTTTCCAATTCTTAAGACAATTCCCATTAGTTTCCTTGTGGCAGAAGGCCTGGGCTAGCAAAGGCCAGGGCTTCCTCTCAGCTAATGAGATGCAGGAGGATGGCTTATTTGCATGTGCAGCATGACCACTGGTCAGCCACACCCAGGGGCTCATGCTCAGTGTCACACAGCATCACTGGCTACCTGTGAGGAAGAAAATGCTCATTCTCACTGGAGCTGACTAAACTTACACAGATTATCAATAGAAATTAAGTCATAACGGCTTTAGCCTAAAATCAAAAACAAAAAGAATCCAGGACTACAGAGAACTGTCTTTCCTTATACCTTAAAAAATTATGTAAATTCTATTTAAAAATAAAAGGACTATCAAGCATGGCTTGGTACAAGTATATAGACACATTTTTATAACTTTTTCTGCTTACAGAGGTAATATACAGTTCATCATGGAAATTTTGGAAAATAAAGCCTAAAAAACCTAAAAAAGAAAGAGCTCACTTATAATCCTTCTGCCTTGATTATTTATTCCTGACAAGAGTTAAACCTCTGCAAATACCATTTCCAGGCAATAAAGGACAAATATTACAAGAAAACAATCATGTCTACAGTTCCAAGCCATTCTTCCTAGTAAAGTTCTTACATTACTTTTTGTTTGTTTGTTTGTTTGGTGGTGGTGTTAGAATCAACTAAAGTTAGGCCTTTTCTGTCAAAGGAGTTAATGTAGAACTATCACAGTGTAGCTGTCAGCTAACCTCCCCGAATTGCTGCCTGCATGCTTTGTGAAACGTTGCTTGACCCTGCAAGGTTTTTGCAGTCAAACAAAGAGCTATTTATTGCCAGATGTCCTAATCTCAAACTGCTTGCTTAAAGATGAATCTTACCTGAATGAATTTTCTTGTTCTCCCTGCTTCAAGGTCCTGCTTTCCCCATGTGCCCCTTTTCTAAGTAACCAATCTCAAAGACTGTGAACCTGAACCCATCCATCAAGGTCAGGGGCAGAGAGAGAGAAAAACTGAGCTAACTCCATGCTCAGTGTGCTCTGCCTATCAGACTATGGTCTGTGGCTACACACTTCTGCAGAAGTAAAACTTTTCTTTTTGCCTTGCTGAGTGACTCCCGCATGTTTCTTTGATCACTGTTTGGGGATGGCATTTCTAACAGTGGTACTGGGATTTGAATTCAGGGCCTCACCCATGGTAGGTAGGTGCTCTACCACTTGAGCCACTCGACCAGCAGTTCTTATACTACTGATCATCTTCTTCTGCTTATCAAAACCCACCAATTTTGCTATTAGCAAGAAATTTGTTTTTAGAGAATAAACTATCCAACTGTCCTTGTTCTAGGAAAGTATGTGAAAACCAGCAATGGAACCACTCACCAAGCTCGTAGCAATCTCCAGTGCTTCCACATGCCTTCCCAGGTGAGCCAGACAACGAGCCTGGCCTTCTTGGACATCTCTTCTCATAGCAAAATTGCTAGATGACAATTTTTCAGAGATACTGGAGTACTCCTGCAGAGCTTTCTGGCAATTATTTGTTAAAAGAAGACAAGGGGATAAAAGTGGAAAGGATTCAGGATAGGGATGATTTTTACCAAGTGGAAGTTACAATGTACTTGACCCTATGGACTAAGGGAGACCGAGTATTTCAGCCAGTACTATTTTTCTCAAAGTCAGCAAGAGAATGGCTGGGGATAGAATGACTACTACCATGGAACGATCACGGTGTGGGAACCACAGCATTCTGGAGCCAGACAGACCAGGCTTTGAATCCTGGTCTCTGCTCCCTTGCTATCTGACCTTTTCGTCAACATTTGCATGACATGAAATGAGATACACAGGTGAAGCAACCTGGTACCTGGTTGTTTGTTCTTCTCTTTTTTTACACATTTTGGGGTACCTTGCCCCTGAACACTAAGAGATGCCTGTGCTGGAGGCTCACCCATAATGAGGGGATACAGAACCTGGGGAAAAAGACCTACAGGGGCTGCCAAAGGATTCTTTTGTTGAAGTTACAGGAAACGAAACAAATGATATAGAGCCATCTAGAGAGGACAGAAACCTGGGAGTCAAAGATTACAAACACACATCACAGATTAAATCCATCTTCACAAACAACACACTCATAACTTAGTATAGTGTTATTTGCACATTCTATGACTGATAAAACAAGAGCCTCAAGTATCACATGTTGAATCCTACCTGATAATCCCGTCGTCTGTAGGCCAGATCCCCTTTGAATTTCTTGATAGTCAGAACTTCCGCATCTTCGCCGATCTCTGTTTCTTCATAAAACCACTAGAGATCACGGAAACAATGTGTTAAAGAGAGTGAAGCTGAGCTTTTCCTCCTTATACTCTGAAGCAATTTCCCATAACACAACCGCTTCAACCTCAAAAAAGACACACTCTTCAGGATAAGACTCAGGGGAAAGCACTGTAAAGAGAATGACAACTTTTTGTTTTTGGTTTTTTGAGACAAGATCTCACTAAGTACCCCAGCCCGGCCTCAAACTTACAGTGCTCCTGCTTTAACCTCCTGGGTGATGGAATCACAGGCGTGAGCCACCACCACTCGCTACTAAAGAATGACAATTTTAGTGATGCCTGTTTTTATTAAAATTATCACAAGTAGTCAGGCACTGGTGGCTCACACCGTAAATCCTAGCTACTTGGGAAGCTGAGATCTGGACAATTAAGGTTCAAGGTGAGCTTGGGCAAACAGTTTGCGGGACCCGCCCCCATCTCCAAAATAACCAGAGCAAAATGGTCTGGAAGTGTGGCTCAAGTGGTAGAGCGCCTGCTCTGCAAGTACAAAGCCCTGCACTCAAACCCAAGTCTTACCAAAGGGGGAAAAAAATCACAAGTAACAAACACACTGATAATATGATCATTTTCTTAAAAAGCACGAGGATGTATGGTTTCATTTACAGCATTTCAAAGTGCAGTGCACTGCCTGGGAACCACCACTTACTGTGCACAATTCAGTAAGTGACATATGCAATTTTAGAGTGGCAAGCATAGGGACGACAACTCCTTATACAAAGAATAATTACAGTTTTGATGAAAATGTTATAAAGGCACACAAGTAGAGAGAAAGGAACATAAGACTGAGATTTCTTTACTGTCAAGAAAACACATGAAGAAAAGCACTGTGTGCCACTTTTTCCAGCTTCAAAGAAGTACGTCATACTCCCTTTTACTCACAATAAAACACACCGAGGCTGAAGAAAATCTATCCCTAGTGAAATGCTATTAATTCAAACATATCTGTCTGTAATGGCTCTGCTTGGCTCTATTTCTAAGTTGCCTGAGCATCAATGCTGTTATCTTACTAAAATCAGTTTCTCTCCTTAGCCTGACCCATTGCAGTGGAGAAAGCTAAAAGCCAGTTTTTCTGTTCTCTCTCAAGCACCATGTCACTCAACACTATGAACTTGACCACAATGTCCCTTTGTACTCTACTGCTGTCCAGTCTACAAGCTGTTTTAGATCAGCCAATCCCAACTTTCAAACAATAACCTATGAAATTCATCCAACTTTCATGAGCCCATAGGGAAATGAGAAAGCAAAGTTGGCTGATTATTTTTGTTCTCCTACTTAGGCTGCAGGCCTCAAGAACTCAGACAACTGATACCTTCAAACACCACTCCCTGGTAAACAGAAGGCAGGAAGAAGCTGTGAACCAAGGCGGTAATTCCTGGGTAACACATTCCCAGACAGAACCCAAGCAGGCTGGGACAAGACATCTCACCCAAACTCTTAGTTTACACCTAGGGAAACCAACGACAGGTCTTGGATAAGGCCTCTTTGAGTTTGTGAATAGTGTTGTTTCACACGGCAAACTCACTCTAAAGTGACTTTGGGGCACATCACATCTGACAACGCACTTTCTTCTGCATCATCTCACTTCATCCCTACAACCTTGTGACCCAGCGAGCGTTACTAGTCCCAAATGACTAATGAGGAAGCGACTGGCACCTTGAAGGGCAAGTAGCAAGGTCAACACTGGAACACCTGGGCTTCCGAATGCTCCCGTCCATCACCTGCCAAGCCCACCCCGGCTCTCAGCTTGCACGACTGAGTACCGAAGGTAAGGCTGAAATACTGCATGCAGCACAACACGAAAACACAACTCTTAATTATGGAGTGCAGCTACAGTGAGGAAGAAACGGGCAGTCCACGCAGAGCACCCAGCGCAGTGCTGGGACACGTCGGGTTTCCACAAAGACTCGCTGAGACTGGCAAGGTGAGAGATGGAGCGCCCCGCGGAGGGCCTGGAGGCGGGAGGGCCCCCTCTCACCTGTGGCTCGCAACGCTTGGCGCTGTAGGGCGCGGGAGGCCTGGGCCGCCGCTCCGGCCTCTCCTCGAACACCGAGTCCTCGAACTCACCGCCGATCACCCAGTACCCGGCCTCCATCGCGCGCCCGCGGCCCGGCACCGAGAGAAGGCGGAACCTAGAGCGGCGAACGCTTGCGTCCGACCCGGAAGAGGCGGGGCCGCCAGAGCCTCAGCGGGGCATGCTGGGACTGCGAGTCTTCGCGGCCCCCACCCCACCCCCCTACCTCCCAACCCCCGCAATGTGGTTGAACTGACACAGCCTTCCCGGAGCCCAGGACAGGCAGTCCTCACCTGCTACGCATCATTAATCACTTCTTTTAGCAACAACCTTAAGCCAGGCACGACGATTCCCATTTTGCAAATGAAGATACTGAGTCTCGAAGAAGTTAAGTCAGCTAGCACAGAGTGAGTTATTCCGTGGCGAAAGGTCAGAAAATACGGAGGTTTCACATATTCGAGGGAGGGGCTGGGTCACCATCTTTGCGTCTTGCACCCCGTAGGTCCTCACTCAATGTTTGCTAAATAGGTTAATCTATACCGTACACTAACTCAGTGTATTGGAGGGCCTATTCTGTGCCAGGATAAGAATACACCACTAGTATTCTGTGCTCTCATTGAGCCCATTCTAGGGTGAAGAAGACATGATAAACATGTAAGCACACATTTATTTATTTGGCAGTACTGGGGGCTTTGAACTCAAGGCCTCGCACTTGCTAGGTAAGCGCTCTACTAGTTGAGCCACTCCATCAGCCCCTTTTTGTGTCGGGTATGTTTGAGAAAGAGTCTTACAAACTATTTGCCTGGGTTGGCTTCAAACCGCGAGCCTCCTGGTCTCTGCCTCCTGAGGCGGGATCACAGCTAGGATCACAGGTGTAACCCACCGGCGCCCACCTAAGCACAGACTGTGTACGGAGCTAGAGTAAAGAATTACAGGACTTTGTAGTCTCAACACCTTCTCCCTTCCTTTTCTTACCCAAGCAGCTTTTCCTCTGAGCTATCCTTCTCAACTTCCATGGAGATTTGTAAACATCCCCTTTTTCTCTTTCTTCAGCTTTTTGTTTCTTTTGAGCAAAACATACACTCCTATTGCTGGCATGAGAACCATCCCAGTAATTCTCATGGACATATAGCAACTTAGATTAACTTTTGACCTCAGTCCTACATTTCCCACATTCTGTAAAATTTTATAATAGGTAAATTCATTGAGTCAACTAAAATTTGTTACATATCTGCCAGAAGCCAAGCAGTTTTTAGAGTGAGGGATACAGTGATAAGACAAACAAGATCCTTGATTTAATGGAACTTCAGTTCTAGTGGAGACACAATAAACTGTCCATGTCTACAGAGTGGGGCCCTAGTCCTTGGATCTAGAGAGCATCGAAGACCTTATTTACTTATTACTATTTCTGTTCTAACCTGTCCCGGGTGCAGAGGGGGGCTGCCTGAAGGACTTATAAATGCTCATTTCTGTTTTGCATAGCCTGGAACTTGAACTAAACACTGGAAAACACTCAGAGAACTAACAACCTGCAAACTCCTAGGGCAGATGATTACAGTTGAGAGATACAACAGACCACAGAGCACTGGGAGGAAAGACTGAGGGAGATTCTTTGGGAAATTAGACATTCAAAAGTTCCTGTGGATTTGGGAGACTTTAGAAAGTCACGTCCATTCCCAGGGAAGACTGAATGCTCAGGAAGACCTAGGAAGATGCTAAACTTTCACCTTGGGCCAATCCCTATCTCAGTGCAAGCTTGTCTAAAGGTTGGAGCGCCCCAGCACAGAACCAATGGTCAAAGACTGGGAGAGGGATTTGGTTTTCCCTTCTCCCTCCCCCCAACTCCCTCTTTCCCTTCCTTTCCTTTCTTGATTTGTTTTTTGGAGACAAAGCCTCACACTGTAGCCCAGGGTGGCCTAGAACTTGCTATGTAGCACCATCTGGTCTCAAACTTGAGATCCTCCTGCCTCTGCCTCCTGAGAACTAGGTTTACAGGCATGTTTTACCACATCTGGCTCTCTTTTCTGTTTTCTTCTTTATAGCATAGAATTAGAAGTTCTAGCCAAAGCAATTAGGCAAATAAATAAGTAAAAGCTGTCCAGATTGGAAAGGATATCTATTCACAGGTTACATGATCCTATGATCCTATGTATAGAAGAATCCATGAGAAAGCTAATAAAATCAATTCAGGAAAACTGCAAGTTACAAGGCCAACAAACCAAAATCAGATTTCTGCACACCTGCATCTAAGAATAAATTTAACCGATAAAAGACTTGCACACTGAAAACTACAATACATTGTTGAAAGAAATTAAGTAAGACTTAAATGCATGGAATGATAGTCATGCTGTGTTTAAGGATAAGACTTTGTATTGTTAAGATGTGAATACCACCTGAAGCAATCTATACATTCAACATAATCCCTATCAAACTTACCTGTTTTTTAATAGAAAAGTCAATCCTCAAATTCATACAGAATTTCAAAGGGAGCCAAACAGAATCCACATCCCTAAAGAAAATCTTAAGAAGCAGAAAATTTCACACTCTTGATTTCAAAACTCACTACAAAGCTACAAAAGTCAAAATAGTGCAGTACTGCCAAGGCTAGACATATAGACCAATGGAATAGAACTGAGAGTCCAGAAATAAACCTTAACCTGCATAGAAAATTACTTTTGACAAGAGTGCCAAGTTCATTCAACTAGGGGGAAAACAGTTGCTTTAACAGATGGTGCTGGTACAACTAGATTACCACTTGCAAAAGAATGAAGTTGGAGCCCTACCTCAGTACCATATATAAAAACTAACTTGAGCAGGGTGCCAGTGGCTCACGCCTGTGATCCTAGCTACTCAGAAGCAGAGATCAGGAGGACTGTAGTTCAAAGCCAGCCTGGGCAAATAGTTTGTGAGATCCTTTGTCAAAAAAATACCAAGCCAAAAAAGGGCTGGTGGAGTGGCTCAAGCAGAAAGAGCACCTGCCTCAGTGTGAAACCCTGAAGAAAATATACAGGTAACTCGAGACCTTCAATTTGGCAATAGCTTCTTAGATACAACACTGAAAGCGTAAGCAGCAAAATATAAATGAGACCACGGAAAAATCAAAACATTCTGTGCACCGAAGGACATTATCAAGAAAGTGAAAATACAATTTACATAATGGGAAAATATAACTAATTTTCACTATTCATAACGATTATGTTCTACAAACACAATTGAGTGCAGAATTAGAAGATACTAAACAAACACTCCTAGGGCTAGGGTCCTGGAGACCTCTGGTCACAGTATTTTCTATCAATCAATACATGTATAACCTTATTTTACGTGTTTCTATTTAAAGATAACTTATTTAACTCATATTGTTTGATTTACCATAGAACTCATGGGCAACAGCACTATAACTCCTGAATAAAGCTGATCTAACATGTATTTTTTCCGTAAGGCACACTTGTATTTAGGCATACTAGCTAGCACAACAGCACTACACTTCAAGACTATTTCAAACAATGAATTCGTCAGCAAAAACACAAAAATATGGAAAACATGACACTAAATAGACACAAAAAGCATGCTTCTGTACAGTAGCAGAGCTAAAAAGAAGACAAGAGTGAGAAAGTGCCCACTGGGCAGCTCAAATTCTTTGCCATTCTTTGCATGTGTAGGATGACCAAGGAAGCACTGTGAGTACTGACACAAATAAGGACAAATACTGTATGACTGGTTCCATGTATTTAAAACACCAGGAATGGGCCAACTCATACAGACAGGAAGTAGGTTAGAAATTATAGACAAATTTTAGTGAGTAGAAAAATTTGCACATAAATAATGGGACTGTGTTATATTTGCAAATCATATGTCTGATAAGGTTGTAACATCCAAAATACATAAAGCGTTCCTAAAACTCAACAACAAAGAGGCAAAGGACTTTAACAGACACTGTTCCAAAAGATACACAAATGGTCAACACATGAAAATATGTCAATAAGGAAATGAAAATCAAAACTACAATGAAATACCATTTCACACCTACTAAGATGGTTATAATTTTTTTGTCCCCTACTCTCTATCCTAATGTTTACTATGTTGTATAATAATTTTTTTAAACTGAAAATAACAGGTTTGGGCAAAGATGTGGAGAAAGCAGAACCCCAATACATTTCTGGCAAATGTAAAATGGGAAATATTTTGGCACTGGGGAAGTTTAGTCATGTCTCAAAAAGTTAAACACAGAATTACCATATGACTCAGGGGTTCCATTCCTAGATCTATACACAAAAGAACTGAAAACTGGGACCCAAACAGATACTTGTATGCCAGTGTTCATTGCAGCATTATTCACAATAGCCAAAACATGGAAACCCAGGTGTCCATCTACAGATAAGTAGATAACCAAAATACGGTGCTTCTCTCTGTGTGTTTGTGTGTGTGTATATGTGTGTGTGTGTGTGTATGTGTGTGTGTGTGTGTAAATATATGTGCATGTGGTATTATACATGCAATGGGTTAGAATTCAGTCATAAAAAGGAAAAAGTTCTGATATATGCTACAACAAGGATGACCTTAAAAACATTATGCTAAGTAAAATATAAATCAGACACAAATAAGGACAAATACTGTATGATCCCACTTCTTTGAAATACCAAGAATAGGCAAATTCATAGACAGAAAGTAGGTCAGAGGTTACCAGGGGCTGGAGGGAATGAAGAGTTATTGCTTAATGGTTACAAATTTCTGTTTGAGGTGATGAAAATTTTTGGGAAACTGGTAATGGTTGTGCAACATTGTGAATATAATTTAATGTCATGAACTGTACACTTAAAAATGGGTATAGTGGCAAATTTTATGTTATGTAAATTTTATCACAATTTTTAAAAAATTTGCTCAGTTAATAAAATGGAAAAAAAATCACTGAAAACTACTAATCACTGCTAACTTTTATTTTGTATTCAAGGACACAGTCAACCAGGAGAGAAGGGTTCTTTTGCTCTGTCAAATAAATATGTTTAAAAGCTAGCAAACATCAGAGCAGAATTTTATCAAGCCTATAAAAGAGATGGGAAATTTTTTATTAATAGTTATTTACAGCTATACAGAGTTAACATATTGCAATGGAAACATAATATAAATATATTTCAAAGGCTTCATTTCCAATACTTGACACTTCAAATGTTGAGAACATTAAAATTACTGTCAAACAAAACTCAGACCACATTAGCAATGGTTTAAAAAAGGGAACAATTTAATCATTATAATACAGAGTGCTTTAAGAAGTTTTTAAATGTGTAAAAGAAAAAACAGTTTAGTGCATTCAATTGTTATAGTCTTTACACTGCTTCTTTTTAAAAAAAGTTAACAGTAGTATGAAAAAAGCCACCCACAAAGCCAGCTGTCTGAGTGAAGAAATCAGCTAAATTGCAGCATTTTGGAATTACTAATAAAGCTATAGTTAAAAAATAAAGTTTATAAAAATGAAAGCAGCATGCATATTCAATGCTTTTCGTAACATTTTCATTAGCTGACGAACACTTAACCAAAAGCTTAGTATTTAGTATTCATTAAATTAGATAATATAAACTGGCCAAGCCCACTATATGTGATCATTCAGAAAAACATTTTAAAGATCCAGAGCTAATTAAACTGAACATTTCCTCTCTGAAGAAAGCACTTTGGAAAGTGGTCCTATGATCACAAAAGAAAGGGTCCTCTCAACATGAGTGAACAGCACCGGTCTTCACAGAGTTTATAAGTCAGCATGAACTTTCAGTATCCTTGTATGGCAAGGGTTAACCCAGGACTCCCACGTGAAAAGCTAACTTTTAACTCATTGGGATCAGCTCAGAATTTTTTTCTCTATTCACCGAAATTGTTACACAAGATAGAATTTCATCAAAATTCTTGAAAATTCTGACGTGACACCTGTATGAACATTTTTGATTTCCACATGATTGTAAGAAAACACTAAGTATACTTTACTACATGATTCTTTTTCACATTTTTTGGTATGATATTTATGTTAGAGTTTCATCTTATTCAACTTCTTATACCAGTTTCTTTCCCTTCTTCAATATTATCTTTAATAAAAAGCAAATCAGCTTTTAAGTGAAAAAAGTAACAAGACATATTACAAGTAGAAACAGTAGTATCCATGAGTATATTTAATGAAAGATCCAATCGTTAAGGGCCAGATATACCACAAAATCTTACTGTTCCAACATGTGTAAATAGGCTACTTTTACATTTGAAATTGTATATGCCTATGCCCTTTTATTGGCACAGAGCCTGATAAATAAGACACAAATAAATCAGGGTTTGTTTTTGTTCCCCATTTCTAACAATTTTTACTCTGTAAAATGTTTGGTCACTCCAAGCTATAAGCTTAATCACATATCAAAGAATACAGGCAATATAGCCCATCTTACTGGACACACAGTGTAAGCTGGACTAAATCTGAGAACAAGCTCTAGTGGTCATTAAACCCCATCAGAAAGTCTAAGATGCAGAATAAAAATGAACGGTATTAAAATCTGAATTTTTACACATTGTTTTCTAATTAGTGTTCTATTTACATTGCAGAACTTCCGCCAGCTGCAGCAGTTTAACTTTGGCACAACTTTAAGTTCCATTTCTTTTGGATATTGGATCCTGCTTTTTGAGAGTGTATGCCCCAAAAACATTTTCAGTGTCATCAGAGACTGGGCCCATTCACAGTAAATCAAACATCTTGACTTGAGGAACTGATTCTCCTTCAATATTTTAAGCAGCTATAAAAGAAAGACATCATAAAAAACTGAACTTTAAACCATTCTTTAATTTTTAATACTTTTAGAACAAAAAATATAGCAATTATCCATGAGAAGGCCTCCTATATTGCTGTATTTTCACTTACCACATACATCTCACAGTGCACTAGACTTTGTATGAAATCATGTCTATCCATGTGCCTCATATGATAGGTATGCTTATAGATATCTCTTTACGCAATTTTTTGTTAAAAAATTATTAGGAGGAAACATATATACTTCATTGTCAGTACTTATAAGAAATTATGAAATCTAAAGACTTGTATTTTCTTTGTTTCTATACAAGGCTGGCATATGCAAAAGATATATATATATATATAAATATATATATACACTTCACTTTCTGCAATAACTATTTTGGGAAAGCTTTGGTAACTTTTTTGTAATAAATTGAACCATACTTAAATAAAGAAAAAATTTTAGAGGAAATGTATGGTGAATCCCTTATAAATGAAAAATTATTTTATTAAAACAATGATAACATGCTAATATTTATAATTTTAAGCTCTCATTTATTTTAAAAGCAAGGCATGCTTCTTCATGTATCACAAAAGTGCATGTGTAACAAATACAGTACAATTTTTTGAAAGCTATAGCAGTATGTCAATTTTCTGACCATAATATTAGTACCCATAACAGTGTTAATATATAGCATAAGAATTATCCACACAAATTTAAAGTCCTAGTAAACTACAGAAAAGTTCACCTTATTTTTGGAAGATTGCAATTCCCCCAGAAAATCACTGCAGAGGCTTCAACAACAATTCACTGAAGCAACAAATTTGTTGATTTAATCTTGGCTGAGTGTACATTCTTGTGTTTAGCAATAAAAAAAAATGCTTGTTAAAAATATGTTATACATCTGGGTCAGAACAAAACCTGCCCTGAAGCTTTCTGACAAGAGGAAGTGGAAGACTGTACTTCAGGACAAAGCTGTACAACACTGTTTAGGTTCTGTGACTTATAATGCTTACATTGTGCTCTGTAACCTGCAATGAGATTTATACTGCTTATTAAAATAAGTACATTTTTAGTTCATCTGTTTTTCTGCCTTTGAAATTTTAATAAAAAGAAAACCTGGAAAAGAACTGCTAAGGAATAAGTATAGTGGCTGGCACATAATATCTCTATATAATTGTTAAACAAACCAAGGAGAAGACATGGGGGAATTAAGGAAATACTGTGTACAGTAAGAGAGCAAAAAAAGTAAAGCATGGGTCAGGGAAGTAAGAAACAAAGGAAGTAAGAAGTATGCACATATGCAAAATAATAATGAAGGTCTATGCCTCGTTTCCTCTCTTCCTGTCTGAGAACGCTGTAATAACTTCTGATAGCATGATGCTCTTTGGCCTTCAGACAGATATACACAGGCATCTCATGACAACTACACTGTTTTCAAAACAGTGCTTTTATCCTGGAATACTCCAAAACAGCAAGCAGAAAGAATAAAACCATATTCCTAAATTTGGAGTCCTAACTACAAATCAGGTAACTAATTTGCAATTACCTTAATATTTTAATTAATCTAATCTATAATATATTAAGGAGCATGCCAAATCTTTCAAATTTAAACCGATTTTTGTTTCTACTTCTAAGACTATAAAGATTTATTTCTTTATTTTGTTTTGAGTCAAGATCTTGCTGTGTAACCCAAATCGGCCTTGAACTCACCATACTCCTGCCTGTGCTTCCTGAGTGCTGGGATTAAAGACAGGCACCACCACACCTGGTCAGAGATTTATTTTGAATCAAACACAGTGCTGGTAGCACGTTTGTTTAATTTCAAAGAATATAAAGATATTTTAGTAACTGAGGTAATTTAATATGAAATCTGTTATTTACCTTTTTATCTCTAAGACAGAAATCATTTATATTGCAGTTCCTCAAAAACAGATGCTAACTAGGCAAACATGAATTTATAGAGCCTGGAACAGAACTTTGGCTTTTAAAAGAAAGTAGATAATGCATAATCTTAATACATAAAGCACTTTAAACTCTAGCTAAAAATTTAACATGGTTTGGGGACAATACAATGAAGAAAAAATACCCATATTCACCTAAAACAGGAAATTTTAGTTTCCTAAAACTGAGCAGTTCTCATCCCTGAGGTCTCTCCTTCAGTACACTTTTCCCCTTCTTTTTAGTTTTCATTTTTTAATTCTTTCCTTAAATAGGTAAAAAATGAAGCTTTAGTGAAGTGAAAATTACAAGAAATACATTTTAGTTAGCTTTAGTGTTTTGTTTCCTGTCTCCCTTCTTACAGATGGGTAGCTTTCCCTTGAAACAAACAAGCATCTATTTTGTATGAAAAATAAGCAATTAAAGCAACATTAAACTCCACCTAATATAATAATAATAATAATAATAATCAGCACATGATAATTGCATCTGTCTTAACTATACTAGCAGCATCTAGTCCTCTTATTAGGGAAAACAATTAAAACTGACTGTTAAAAATGTATGTGGTTGTTGAACACATACTCGGGTTAAAAACTTACATTTCAGTCATCTGATTTAGAAAGCTTCCGCTTCACATGTCGTGGAGGTTCCCATGTGTCACTATCATCTGTTTCTTCTTCCTCCTCTTCCTGATCATCAACAACTTCATCTTCCTCTTCATTTTCCTCAAATAATTCTAAACCTAACTCAGATCTTCTCTGTCTTTCTGCAAACCACTCTCTGACTTGCTCATAGCCCATATGCGATCTGTTGACAAGTTCATCAAGATCTTGTTCATTAAGAAATTTGTGCTTCAGGTAATAATCCTTAAGAATTGCGGTTCCAGTTTTAAATTTTATGAGCGATGGTACCCTGTCCCAGTTGTTCATTCTTTTGCCTCCTCTGGGCCGCCCCCGTGGTCTTCCCCTTCCCCGTCCTTTCGGTCTCCCCCGCCCTCTTCTTCTGAGAGAAGAGAGGCCATTCATGCTGCTCGAATTAGCGCTTTGATAGTAATAGTACCATTTCAAGTTACCATTCTTCCAAGCGTATCGGGTGTCCCCAAACCAACTAACTATGTCTGTTCTAGCAAGCCCACTTTCTTCAGCCAACTTGTCATACTCTTCAGGTGACGGCCACTGTGTTCGGACAAATGCGCTTTTAAGCATATGCAACTGCTCAGGGGTTTTCTTGCATATCTTGCCCGTATTACCTGACTTAGGTGTGACAGAGTCATCTCCGGGAGAAGTTTCTCCAGCTTCTTCTTTGGAACTGCCTGCATTACCTTCATCAATTTCTGTTTTCTCTTCCTTTAAAGCTTTTGATTTCTTCTTCTCTGTAAACCAAGCATCAATTTCTCTTCTGGTAAGTTTGGTTTGCGCTCTTAACCGATTTAATTCTTCATCTGTAAGTACAGAGCTATTGAGAAAACTTGCCTGAAGGACCTGAAGTTGCTCTGCAGTTTTCTCTTTGAACTTCTGGGGGGTGAAGTCAGGAAAGGGATTCCAGGACTGTTTATGCTGTGCAGTAACCACAGTTGGGGGTTCTGTGGTCTCATCACTGGAGTCTATAATAATGGTAGTAGAGGAATCATTGTTGAGATGTAAGCACTGATTACTCTTTGAGTTTCTCTGGTTGTACCTTGTGTCACTAAACCATTTTTTAATCTCTCCTTTTGTCAGGCCTGTTATTTTCATAAGTCTGATAATTTCTGAGTCATGGGGAAACTGACTTTTAAGGTAGCTAACTTTTAATTCTGCCAGTTGCTCTTTCGTCTTTTTTGCCCGAATGCCAAATGAATCCGCGTTTACCAGTGCCGTTTCATGTTTGACATTCTGAGAGGGTGGAACTGCTGCTGTTGCTGGCTTTGTTTCTACAGTAGGCTGAGCAGCAGGTACTTGACTTTTCTGTACATTTGTTTGATTTGGAACCCCTGCCACTGTCAAGGCTATGGGTGCCGTTACTGGCAAGGTGTTTGTTCCAGCTACTTGAGTAAGGACCAGCCCTGGCTGACCAACTATTTGGCAAGTCTGTAAAATAGATGGCAAACCATTACTCCCTGTGGAAATGTGTGTAGGAATGACAGTTATAGTCTGAGGTACAGTATGCACTGTCCCATTGAATTGTTTTCTTCTTGCCTCCTCTACTTCTTCGGGAGTCCAACTAACACCATGTTTTAAACGTTGGGCTGAAAACCATATCTTGATCTGTTCCTCCGTGTATTTTGCTTGAGCAGAAAGAACTGTAATTTCTGACATTGTTGGATAAGGGAATTTGTTATAAGTGTTAAGTAGAAGGGGGTTGTTATCCAATGCAGCATTATAGGAAGGAATGCTATTAACGGGGATTAAGACTTTGGGAATCAAGTTCGAGTTCTGCTGAGCAGACACTGCAGTTATCACCTGTGCGAGTCCAGGAAGAACAGCTGCAGGAGTCACCACTGTGCTGGCAGTGTTTGGATGTATTCTGTTTACAATGGAAGTACTTGTATTGGATTCTGAAGCTGAAGAATTTGCATTTTCTACATTTTCTTCCCGGTCTGGTTTGATTTCATTTTCTTTCTCTTCAGGAATGTCCTCAGCTGAGTTATGATGGACTGTAATCCGTTTGTTTTCTACTTTATTTTTCATCATTTTCATGATAGGAGTTTTGCTGATAGAGATTCCTGAAGAAGAAAATTCTGTGGGTTCTGCTTGTTCTGCATTCTCTTCTTTAACAAAACTACCATCAAAGGTCAGATCATTTATTGTTTGTTCAAAGATTGTCTGGTTATTACGTTTCACCATAGTCAACTTGAAATTCTCTTCTCCTGGGTGATATTTCATATTATGCTCAGAAAGTGCATCATACCTTTTGGTAAGAAAATTGCATTCAACACAAACATAGGATGAATTTAGCACTACATTGGGATGTTCTGAATCCACATGAAAAGTAAACATATTTAGATCTGGAGTTTGAAAAGTACAATATTTACATTCATAGCCACCTTCAACTTTTTTATTTTGCTGATTGTCAGAATCCACAGATTCGTGAGCTTCTTCATCACTTGAGATGCTCTCTGCTCTGGTATTTTCTACTGGTGTAAGTACAGGAGGACCTTCATCCAAATCTGATATCAACTCAAGGTCTGGATCCTGTTCACTAGAGAGGACCATGCAAGGTGTTGTTGATTTTCGCCTGCTTGCCATTCTGGTGTTAGGAGAAATCTCAGTGGTGGTTTCAAAGCATTGAGGCTGAAAACTGTTCAGGATTCTTCATTTGAAAACAATGGCTTCTGGTTCTTCAAGTCCACTTTTGTGCTCAACAAGTCTCATTAGCAGCTTTTCCATGGTGCAATCAAGTAAAGAGCTTATTGTTGACAGATAAAATACTGCTGAACTGCTGAAATTTTTGAAGCACAACTCCAGTCACCTACATTGAAATAAGTTTAAAATGAGTGACACAGTTATAGATCACTTATATTAAGTTGCTGCATTGCTCAGTCATAAAGATCTACATTAAGACAAGAATTAAAAAAACCTTTCTAAGCTCACTAAAGGTCATTTATGGTACTCATGGGTCAAACCCAATCTTGTTTATTTAGATCTTTTAGTCAACTAGATATTAGAAGGGAAAGGCCTGCTTTGTCAATCACACTATTATCAATGTACAATGGCAATCTGTTAACAAGGAAGTAACTTTAAAATTATATTTTAAAAAGTCACAGATACTAAAAACAATGGCCATTTCATGTATAAGAAATTCAATCCAGCACTTATGTCTTCCTACTGGTTTGAAACATTTGCCTAAAAGCAAGCTCAAGAATGACAAAAATAGCAAAGATTAAAGGATGAATGATCAAAGTTTCAGAAATATTATTCTTAATCATTCTGCATAATGCTAGCAGAATTTATAAAATATGTCTAATCACATCATTCCACTCATATGAATCCCCAATGTAAAAGAATACAGTTCAAATTCCTTAAAGCACACATAATTCTCTTTGCCAACAGGTCCTAGCCTCACTTTTCTACCTTAACTTTTGCCATCTTTCTCCTTCTTCCCATATCCTTATGTTCTTTACACACCAGAAATGACTCTATTCCAGGGACACTCAGTGCATTTTCAGAACCTTGCTCAGGCCATTCCTGATATTAGGTCACTGTGCACTTGATGTGATGATGATCTCTCCATTGACCCACAAGCCACCTTTCTCTTTAATTTGGTCCCATCTTTTCCTCTGTTTACTTTACAGTCTAGCACTTACCAGACTATAGCAGAGCAGTGTTATATTTCTTCCCCCTCCCCCATTTATACCTGTGGTCTCCTTATTAAAGACAGTGTGTCCCATTCTTTTTTTTTTAATCAGTAACAGCTTTATTGTGATAAAGTCTCCAAAAGTCTGGACTGAGCAAAGGACCTTTCTATCTTTAATCTAATACTCTCCCGCTGAGCTATTTTGGTTGATAGCTCATGTATGTTTGCATTTCCAGAGCATACTCAAGCAGGTAATCACTAAATACTTATTTAACTGAATGAGTAAAATAGTCCCACAAAACCCAATAGGGCCTGAGGACATCCTCAGACAAGAGTAGCTGAACTTCACAATAATGACCTTAAATCATCAAGGAAACATCAATTATACTCATATAAATAGATTTTAATAAGTTTTACAATTAAAAAAAATTTAAATAAAAATTTCAATGCTAAATCAGTCAAGGTTTATGTGTTTCTGAAGTCTAAGCCAAATACAAATGAATAAAATGAATAAATGGTCTTGCTTACCTGTCCCCACTTTAGAGCTATTTTCATTTACTAGCATCCTCCCTGTTATAGCTGAAGTAAAGAGAAAAGAGTGCTTCAAAAATTAAGACGCAAAACCAGATTCCTTTGAGAAGCTCAGTGAAGGGAGAGGCATTTTCAAGAATCAGAGTTGTATCACCTGACTTTGAAAGTGGTAAGATCCCTCACACCAGAATCACTCAAATACAGACTACATATGTATTTGATGAATCCAAGTAGCAAATGGAAAATTGGACTAAATGTCCCTGTTCTCTGACTTTCCAAGTTACAAAACAAAGGGCATCCGCTTAATATTATTCATGGTATCAATAGTCCAATATCTTACGGATATTCTCTTTTCTTTCTATAACTCTCTTAGTTTCTAAGAAATTATAAAGAAATCACTGAAATGCAAAACTATTTCTTTTCTTTAAGACAAAGTCTTGCTAGCAGGCACTGGTGGCTCACATCTATAATCCTAGCTACTCAGAAGGCAGAGATCAGGAGGATCAAAGTTTGAGGTCAGCCTAGGCAAATAGCTTTTGAGACCTTATCTTGAAAATACCCAATACAAAACTAGGGTTGTTAAACTATCTCAAGTGGTAAGAGCACCTGCCTAGCAAATGTGAGGCTCTGAGTTCAAACCCCAGTACTGCCAAAAAACAAAACAAAACAAATAAACAAACAAAAGACAGGGTTGTACTATGTAGCTCAGGCTGGCTTCAAAATCTTAATTCTCATGCCTCAACCTTCAGAGTGCTGGGATTCCAGGCATGAACCACCACACATACCTAGTTCTTTCTTCTTTCTTTTTTGTTTTTTTGTGGAACTGGGGTTTGAATTCAGGGCCTTGCACTCAAAAAACAGGTGCTCTATAGCATGCCTCCAGTCCATTTTTCTCCAGTCCATTTTTGGAGATAGGGTGTCTTGCAAACTATTTGCCCAGGCTAGCCTTAAACCATGACCCTCCTGATCTCTGCCTTTGAAGTACCTAGAAGTACAGGTGTGAGCCACTGGTGCCCGGCTCCCAGCTAGTTGTTAACTAAATGTTATAAACTAGGCGGGGAGTAGAGGTAAACATATTCACTGACAGAGTCCATGGGTTCCCTAACCCCACTTTCACCTCTGAAGAGTTCCAAGATATGTTTGAAGGACTTTGCCTAGAACTTAAACAGTTTGAAGACAATATTTCAATTTCACCCAAAATCTTTCTCACTGTGCCACTGCTATGCCTTGGAATCTGAAAAGCAATCTAGAGTGAATTGAATGTGTCCTTCAAGTTTGCTTCACTGAAGAAGGCAGGCCAGGGATAGAGCAGCACAGCCGGCAGTAACACAAGCTACAAAAGAGAAACTGAGAAGCACTTTATTCTTCTGGTTCTTTAGCTCTCAGGATTAAACTTACTTTTTATCTTACCTAGCATATAAACAGGAATATGCTACCAAATTATTACTTGTATTTCTCTTTCTACTAGTTCACTAATTCAGATTGATCAGTAAGAATTTAAGCAGATATAAACAAATTTTAAAACCTTAAATATTTTTTAGCTGAAGTCATAGAAAGCATAAAATACTTATATGCTATTTATAATCTAGTAACATATACCCAAATTGTGCTTTTTCCTTTGGAAATGCTGGCCTTCATGTCATATTTAAATTAAATAAAATTACTTAAAAGAGGCTTAAAAAATAAAAGTGTCAGATGTGTATGTGATACACACCTGTAAACACAGCACTTGGGAGGTTGAAGTGGAGGATTACCAGTTCAAGGCTAGCCTAGGCTACATAGTGAGACCCTTTTTCAAAAAACAAATAAGCATGATTACCTCAGGGATTTCAGAATGCTTTAGCCTCTGTTACTTCTACATCCAACAATATAGACCTGAGAAATACTCTTTCCTCTTTACTTTAAAAATTATTTGCTTGCTACAACCTACCTTCAGGTTCTCCAGATTTTCCGAATAAAACCAGAGTCTTATTATTTAACATATTTCTATGAGAAATATGAGAATCCTCAAAGAGCTAGAAGATTTGGTCCAAAGGCTCAATTCTGCATAATGCATATAATCTAAAAATAACTAAAGAACAAAAAAAGTATCATCAGGATTCTTATTATAAAGTCATAAATTTGAAGGAAACAAAGACCTTATTTTAATGGAAGAATAAACCCAATCTCAGAGTAATTAATTCACAGAAGCATTTGGGTATAAGGTAAAACCACGATTTAGAGTTCCCTCTGTCACTTAGGAATGAGGTAGCTGGAAAAGCTACTCAATTTCAGCCTCAGTTTTCTCACCTATAAAGTCAAGATTCTTGGACAAATTTATTCAACAACAATTTGTGGCATTGTGTTAGCATTAGGGATGCAGGGTGACCAAGACAGTCAGACACTAGCAAGGAAAACAGGCAGTCAACAATTACTTAGTGTAACTATGACCAATGCAACAAAAGAAGTAGCAAGAACTATGAGAGTGCTTTGCAGGAAGCTTCTACAAAAGCATGAGAGAAGACTAGAGAAGCTTCCCTGGAAAAAACAGGAATAGTGTATCTACCTCAGAGGTTGAACAAGAAAGAATGTTTCCTTCACCATGCATCTGATACACAGTAAAAGTCTAATTGACCTTATTTTCCAGTCTCTGCAAAATTCTTTTGAGAGAATAAGAAAATTGATTTATTTAATATTATACACTTTCTCACTTTTTAAAAATTTAATCAGCTGACAAGACACAAAAATTGAATGAACAAGCAGGAGTTAAAAAAATACGTAAGAATTTCTATGGTATAGTTTTAATTAGTCTCCCTTTGTCATTAAAGTGCAATGGGGCTGAGACAGGAAAATTGCCTTTCAAAAATCACTATTATTAGCTGACAGGCATTTCATCCTGTATTTGAAGGTCAACCAAAACCAAGGATTAAAATCAACTCGGGGGAATTTAAACTATTAACCTATAAAAGCTCAGTTGCACAACTGAGTAGCTGGGTGGCTTTGCAATTAAAGCAGGATCTAAATGCATCCAGCACTGTAAATATTATTATTATTATTATTTTTTGATGTACTGGGATCACTCAAGAGTTTCATGCTTACTGGGCAGGCGCTCTACCACTTGAACTACACCTCAAGCCCATGTAAATATAATTGCTTTAGAAAAGCTTTCACTTAACTTTTTCACAAAGAACTATTAGAAAATATCATTAGAAAAATTATTAGGAAAATTTAAAAAACTGATCTAATCAATTGTTACACTGCCATTAAAAATGACAACCAAAAGAGTAATTAAGAAACACAGAAAAACATCTACCCAAACTCTTAAATCTTTTAAAATTTTCATGTTAATTATAACAACTAGGAGGAAATATGTGTGCATGTGGACAAAGACTAGATGAGAATATTTAAAAACTGAAATGGTTATGTGTGGAAGTTATAAATTTTCTTTAATAGTGATAATATCATTGTATTATAAAACACAACAAATAATAGTTTCAAGGCCTTAATATTGCAAATACTAAAATATTTCTATGGTCATTTGCTTCAAGCTTCTTGTTTTTGGGTTTTTTAGTTTTTACTTTGTGAGACAGGGTCTCACTATGTAGTCTAGCTTGGCCTTAAACTTGACATCCTCCTACTTTAAGCCTCCCAAGTACTAGGATTACAGACCTCTACCATGCCTAGTTCAAGGTAGAAACACGGTTTCCTTTCTATTTTTAAGGGAAAAAACATGTGTCATATAAAGGTTTTTCTGGGGAAGTAAGACTCCCTCAGTATGGACAGCATTCAAGTATATTTAAGACATTGTTTTGGAGCTACTGCCCCATGATCTGAGAAGCCAAGCTGGTTCTAAGAGCCCTCAAAATCACCCACATTCTCTAGGGTGGAGATCTGGCCAAGCCAATTTCTGTATGTCTATTTACACCCTGCTCTTCTCCTGAAGGTAGTAGGATGCACCTCAAATTAATTCATGATTTATCAAAATAATTACAGAAAGTTTCTCTACAGAAAAGAACATAATGACAACAAAATTTATTTTATCACAGTACAGAAAATTTGGCAGTTCTTATACACCCTCCCTTATGGTCAGAAAGAATGTGTTTGGTTTTATAACTCCAGAGCCCAAAAAAGAGTATATTAGGGTCCCAATATATGCTTTCTTAATAAAAGTCTTTAAGTCTTCTCTTTTCTTCTCTTAATAAACCTTTGCTCTTTTGCTCAAGAAAAGCCTTTAAAAAATATATAACTATTTGTGTATCATATCATGCATTTTACTTCTTTTTTTTCCTTTGGTGGAACTGAGGTTTGAACTTGGGGCTTTGTGTTTGCAAAGCAGGTGCTTACTATTTATAATAGCCAAGCTTTGGAAACAGTCCAGATACCCCACAACTGATGAACAGATTAAGAATATATGATATAGATATATGCAATGGAGTTTTATTCAGTCATAAAGAAGAATGAATTAAGCTGTGTGCAGGTAAATGGATGGAACTAGAGAACTTCATAGTAAGTGAAGTAAGCTAGGCTCAAAAAGTCAAAGGTCACATGTTTTCCTCATATGTGGAAGCTAGACAGATAAGTTAAATGTATATATAGATCCATAATGATCATATATATCTATATGATCACACATACATATATGTAGTGAGAGGCAGAACAAAACTGTATCAGTGAGTCTGAGGAGACTACAGGAGGCAGGAGAGGGGAAAAATGTTAGAGAATGAAAAATATTGAAACAACCCATCTATATATGAATATAATGTACTATACTATAAAACTGCTGAATATGAGGGGAACATGGTAAAAAATATTGAGTAAGTAAGAGGGGAGTTAATTTATTAAAGTACCAAGGCAAAACCCCCTTGGACTATCAATAAAAAATTATCATTAAAAAAACAACAAGCCAGGTGCCAGTGGCTCATGCCTATAATCCTAACTACTTGGGAGGATTACAGAAGGATCATGGTTTGAAGCCAGCCCAGGCAAATAGTTCAAGAGACCCTATCTCAGTAACACCCATCACAAAAAAGGGCTGGTGGAGTGGCTCAAGGTGTAGGCAATGAGTTCAAACCCCAGTACCAAAAAAAAAAAAAAAAAAAAAAAAAAAATGAAGGGCAGGAGGGTAAAATAGGTTTTTTTCCTGGGGATGAGGACCAGTGGGAGGTGTGTGGGCATGAAGAAAGGGTGAATGAGAGTGAATATGGTGGATATATTTTATATTCATATATGAAAACAGAAGAATGAAACCTTTAAATTGTTCTAAGAAGGGGAAGGGGAAAGAGGGAGAACAATGGAGGGGGTAACTCTAACTAAGATATATTGTAAGCACATATATATCACAATGTATCCCCCTATACAAATATTATATGATATCAAATACATTCAATTAAATTTTAAAAAGCAGGTGCTCAACCACCTGAGCCACACCTCTAGTACATTTTCTTCTGGTTCTTTTGGAGACCGGGGAGTCTCACAAACTATTTGACTGAGCTGGCCTAGAACTGTGACCCTTCTGATCTCAGCCTCCCAAGTAGCTAGGATTATAGGCAAGAGTGCCTGGCACGCAGCTTCATTTTGCTTCTTTAAAACTTCTTTAAAGCTCATTTATGGAGGACCTACTAAAAACATTTGTGCTTACTTTACAGATTACTTGTAATAGTAAAATTCTTACCAATAAAAATTACCTTAGTCATTAGAATATTAAAATATCCTCCAATCTAAAGCAATTCATTTATTAAAATATTTCAACAAACATTTACTAACATCTAACATTCATCTGTAATAAATCAGTTTTTGTATAAATAGCAGATATCTAAATTTGTAGATATCTGGAGAGAAAAATGTTCAAACAATTATTTGTGCAGTGAAATTGAGGAAAAGGGGTATAGTTCTTGTAAAGGTAGCAAATGAAAATTCATCCTTAGAATCATTACTTCTCTGTTTCATGAAGAAAACTATAATGATGCTTTATTAAGTTTAAATAAAATGTAAAAAGTAAGTTCTCAATGTAATATACTATAAAAAGCGGATTACTTCAAATTCTATGTTTACTACTAAAAAGAAAAGTCTAAAAAAAATTTTATAGTTAGGTAAAGCCATAACTACACCAAATTTCCTTTATTTATTTTTTTGGCTGTCTTGTATTTCATATTAAATGATTAACAGATAACAGTATGCTGGCACAGTTAGCCACAAAAGCGTATTATTTTGATAAGATTTTATGTGAATAAAAAAAAAAAAAAACCTTTGCTTTTTATACCAATTCTTGGTCAAAGAGAATGTTTTAGAAGATAGAATAGTTTTTTTAAGTTTTGACCTAGCATCAACTAAATAAAACTATTCTTATGGAGCAAAAATATACACACTGGGAATCCTCAGGAATCTGCATTCACATATATTCCCTGTGAATTCTTAGGACTCCATATTCCACTCAGTTTCACTTCTCTCTCAGACTCAAGAGTTCTGTTCAGCCAGCTGAAAATGCTTATTTTCACATGTCTGTATTCTAACTAAAAGTTTCAAAGGTACCAAAAATCACAGGAACAAAGAATAATGGGATCAAATTTAAACAAGGGTATCCACAGTGTGTAAGAAAAAGAAAGACAGACTGGCAAAAAATTATGGTGGCCTTCTCACACATAAAGCATTTTCACACTTAAAACGTAAACATATTTTGAAAATCAAGTTCTCAAAAAAATTTAAATGAGGAATTTGACAACAACAAATTTGTACCAGTAACAAATATTTTTAAAGATTAATGGTACTAGAACCATTACCTAAGAGATAAATCTCAAAAACCAAAAACAATTTAAGACAATTTTTAAAAATCCAGTATTAATGTGAATATAGACAGAAATGAATGTGATAGAAGTGAAAGCATCTAAAAACTGTGGCCAAAGGTAATCTAATTTCAGAGAATCTCTCTGCTGATGCTAATTAAGGCTGAAAGGTGAAGAAACTCTACTCTCTCTACCTGTTTTTGTGCCCTGAGAAAGTGAGCCTTAAATGCACTAAATGCACTAGATTAAAGGAAGAATCCAAGCTGGACAAATTTTTCCTGGCAAGCTCCGATCCCAGATCTGAGGAGTGAAATGTCTTTTTGAAAGAACACTAACATTGTAGTTTTCTGACCCCTGCTGTCATATAGGTAGATATGTATTACATTGAGAGGTAATATATAAACTAGTATAATCATGAAATCTAGCCTGTTCATAGTTTATTGATATGATCCAAAAGTAATTTTCTACTGAAAATAATTTTTCCCTACTTTTCTCAAGGAGGTGTGTTATGTCTTTCACACAAGAATGCTATTCTTAGTTCCAAATGACATCATCTTTGAGAAGCTGAAAAATCAGTCATCTGTCCATTAGAGTCCCTTATTTATAAAATAAAGCAACTATACCTACTTCATTGAGGATACAGTCATTCTATTTTTGAAAGAAAATACTAATTAATATTGGTAATATCAACTCTAAATACTCTATCAATTTTGTTTATTTTGTTATTTTTGGTAGGACCTGGAGTTTGAACTCAAGGTCTGGCACTTGTTAGGCAGTGCTCTACCACTTAAGCCACACCTTAGTCCAAATTTTTAAAAAATGAAAGTGACCATCACATTAATGGTTACCGAATCCTTCTTAGTACTTCTTGGAATCATTTAAAATAACAACTGAACTAAAATATAAAAATTTGAAACATACAGTATGTAATCTAATGCTTCTTATAAAAGCTTATCAATTAGTAAGGTAAAATATAAAATGGTAAAACATACTCAACTATTTAAATATTAGCATGGTTAAAATAAAGTATTTAATTAAAAAGTATTTAATATCCTAATTTTGTTTTGGTGGGGGGATGGGACTGGGGTTTGAGCTCAGGACTTTGTGCTTATAAAGTACGTACTCTACTGCCTGAGCCACACCTCCAGTCCTTTTTGCTGTACTTATTTTGGACATGGCGGGTCATGAACTATTTGCCTATGCTGGCCTCAAACCCCGATCCTTCCTATCTGTCTTCCAGGTAGCTAGGATTACAGGCATGAGTCACCAGCACCTAGCTCCTGATATTTATAATTATAATTAACTATTGTTAGTACCCTAAATATTAAAAACATATTTTCAGGAATTGTTCATATAAGTCTTGAAGCATTTGTTTGGAATAGATCAATATCCCCACACCAAAGGTTCTGCCTTCATGACCTTTGTTTGTCTAGTTTACCCATTATCACAGCACCTGGTGTAGTGTCTGATACACATTGGAATTCAACAAATATTCATTGAAAAATCAATTATCAATAATATACCACATGTGATTTATTTTGAAATGATACTGTTTCCTTTGAAATTGGTCAAATAATCCTGTAGTTGTTAAAGTTCAAAAGTACATTATTTAGAAAAAGTATTAAGCATATAGCTATTTATTTTTTAAGGAAAGTTTTCACAACATTAGCCAAATATAGTATCATGGAATCTAAAGCAAGTCCATCTGTATCTGAGTTTTATCACCCCAGAACAATCAAACACATACTTGCCATTGCTTCCTCAGCATTCTGTTGAGATGGAAGGGGGGAAGTAACCCTTCAAATTAGGTGTACAGCTCAGGCCATCATTACCAACAGGTCCAAAGTAGTTAGCAGTCTTCTCCTACAAAAAAAAAAAAAAAAGTATTATTTTATTATTCAAGGTAAGATTTCAACTTAGGAAATTTTACAGTTTATGCCTTGACCTTTTAAAAGCAAATGTAATTTTGGGGGAAAAATTTCCTCATAGAATTAAAAAAATCAATAGAAATAGGAAACACAAAACTCAAAAGTACACATCAAAAATTCTATGTGTATTACATAGGACAATCAAGTAACTATTAGGCTATTTTGGGTAAAATTTCAAAATGTGAATATATGTAGTATATAATGTGAAAATTGATATGCTAAAGTTGGAAACTTTTTAAATTAAGGGCTGGGGGTGTAACTCACTGGTAACATGCTTGCCTAGGTTCAATCCCTAGCACTGGAAAAATAAAAAGAATGCAAAGGTTATGAATAACAACTTAGTCAAACTGAAAGTTAAGAGTAGGCATTTATGTTTATGTGTTTGCATATAAACCTATTTGTACCCTAATTTACTATGTATTAATTGGAATGGAGAGAATTATTAATGCTGACAACACAAGCCAGTAACGCCTTAAATAAACTAGTGTTAGCCCTAAACATGAGGTTATCTAATAGATGTCTAGTGCTTTAACTATTTAGTTTTTACTAGATTGCTACTACCAAGTGGCATTATAATCAATGTGTTGTGAAGTATTTGTATTATATAATAACAAATTGAAAGTTGTTCTCTGAAAATTCAGACTAATATCTAAAAATGTTTGGTATAGTATCCAGAGTATTAGATAGAATAAAAACTATAATCTATTAAAAACTTGGGAAATTTTAACAAAAATTATAATTGCTTCTCTTATTAAAATAAGAATAAATATTTTTGAGGGGAAAAGCATTTTGTTGTTGTTCTCAGTGTAGGAATACTCTAAAAACAGTGAATGAATAGTAAGGAAGATGATTTTCCCAAAATACTTTATCTTATCATTTCTTATACCATTACACCTAAGCTTATGAAAAGCCTTTTAAGTCAAGAAATAATGTAAATACACCAAAACATCTTCTAATAAAATACTTCTAGGTTGAGTTTTTATTGTCATGAAAAGCAAAAGAACATTCTTCCTGGTAGACGGAGTGCAGCACCTCATTATCTGTACGATTATTATTTCCTGTTACTTCTTTACTCAGCTACTCCTTAGCCATCCATCTACAGGATGCGGATGAGAAGAGAAGAAGGAAACAGCTGCCAAAAAGGGCGGTTGTATTCCAAAATGAATTATTAATACTGTAGGAAATTGGTAACCTATTTCAATCCATTCCTAAGTCCCACAGTGAATGCAAGATGTGTTACTGAAAGACAGTCTCTTGAGAAGAGCTGCCAAGGCACGTAAAGGTACAAGGCAACCAGAGGACCAACAAATGAACTCCTACATACTCCTGAATGGAAACCATATTAGTCTTATGGTATTTTTCAGTTCCTGATGCTGGGATTCCTTTAAAACATTTCTAATTCAGAGTATTTTTTTTTTTTTTTTTAGTTTAGGATGCGTGGATTTCAGAAATTGAGGAGCTTACCTCAACCATGTTACATAATAAAGCAGAACAAGTTGTTCTGGCAATACATTATAAAGACCCAAGAGCCTAGACTCCGGAACAAACTCAGTTCAAATCCCAACACTGCCTTCAGACAAGGGACTTTTGCCTGTCTGTACCTCAGTCCCCTCAACTATAAAATGAGGCAAATAATAGTGCTTAATTAATAGGGTTGTTGTGGGGATTGAAAGAAGGAACACGTTTAAAGTTTTTAGAATATTCCCTGGTACTTAGTCAGAACACAATGAACGTCAGATTATTTCCAATTTTATTTATGGTATTAACTTCAAGTTTTATAACAAAGGAAGTCTTTGTTTAAAATGTGTTTAAAATTGCTAAATGGTGACAAATTACAAAATATTTTTTAAATCTGGGTAATAATAAACCAACAAATTTTATTTTCAATTTTATAATTCTGAACATATTAAATCATAACGGAACAAGGTGGTTTCTAACAGAGGGACATTGGTCATAATTTAGTCCCCTACACACCTACACACATACACACACACACAATCCCTTTCTGCCCCCCATCTTCACCCCAACCTTCCACCACTGCTTCAAAATGAATCATTACTGTATGACACATTTTAAGTTATTTCACAGAATTAACAAATCTACATAATGAGGAGAAATTGTTCTCATTAACCTTCACACTCTCAAATAGAGTCCACATCCAATGAAGTTTTAACAAACCTTCTTTTTGGCAAAATTGGACTGTAAAAGGGAATAGATTTAGGACAGGAGAAAAACATAATTATGAGTGAAGTGCTTAGAAATATCAAAACCTCCTAAATCCTTTAATTTCTCATGATAACCAAAAAACAGAAAGATATTTAGGAAGAAGAAAAAAAGGAAGTCAGAAACTGTATGGGAAATAATAAATCACCTAAATTTAATGACAGCTGTCATTTTGTTTTCAATGATAAATATATATGATTATCACTTTAATATTTTAATTTTGTTAGATCATCTCTGATTTTTAAAAATCTACATCTAAAAACTGAAAATATAAATGCTGCATTAAAAATGATTTATTCAAAGCTGAGTGTGGTGGTGCATGCCTATAATCCCAGCATTCAGAAGGCTGAGGCAGGAGATCTCATGTTGGAGCTACTTAGTAAAACCATGTCTCAAAATGAACAAACAAAAAAGAGATTATTCACTTGACTCCCTTGAATACATGTCATTCTGAAACTGCTCATACTTTTCCCCTAAAGTTTATCATTGTATTTGTTAAGGCCAAAGGTATGTGTCTATTACATATCTTTCTGTTGTGTGCACATGTGTGTATACTTAAGTATGCACATGTATATATAGACAGATACATATCTTTCTGCCTCAAGTACCTTACAGAATACTAATTATATAAAATGCCAAGACTAAGTATCTTTTGAGAAAAAAATCTGGCAATTACATAAAATTTTACATATTATTATTCACTTAGAATAAACTGTAAACTCCAGGACTGCAAAAAAATTGTATAAAATACAGATCTCCAAAATGTAAACTCAAAAGTATATCCTAATTAGTAATCTAAATCACCAACTTCAGTCATGCAAATATAGTTTCTAATTACTACAGATACGTCAGAGCAACGAGAATAAAGTAAATATCTCAGTAATATTACAGAAACACTGGCTGTTATTTAAAAACTAGTATCAACGTTCTTAAAAAATATGTAATTTACTTTTGAAAGTATATAAATTATTTTAAATGATTTTGTTAAAAAATTTAAACTTAAAAGTAAATGTGTTTTCTATAATATGAAGTTATATTTTTTAATGCGTGATAGTACTATCACAAACAGCACAATAAGTAATTCCAAGAAGCTCCAAAAATAACTGATGTTAGATTAAAAACTACCTTAGGTACTGAACTTTCAACACTGAAAAAATTCAAATAAGCAATCTTTTGAGCCCAAGTCTACAAATGCTGCAACATAAGTAAAAAGGTTATTTCCTCAACTACATTTGTGATAGGTTTAATTATTTTAAGAGCACTAAATGAAATTATGACAAACTAGTATCATTTTGTACTTAACACAAGAAAATATATAATAAATCTTCACATCACCTTCCAAGTGAATGTGAAACATGATACAAAAGTGGGAAAATCTTCAAAATGAGCCACCATATCTATCTTATTAATTTCATAAATATAATAGCCATATAACCCTATTATTTATTTTTTTAAAAAAACCCTTACAGGAAGCATTAAAGGTGAAACCACTGCTGCCTCATTCATGCACCACCCTCCAACCCAATGAAATAATAAGCTCAGCTATATGGGAAATAAAACAACTAATGAGCGTCTTCCACACAGGCACATTGATGTTTTCAGCCTTAGCATATTTTCAAGCCATCTGGCACCAATGCCTCCGGTTCACCCAGCCTAATCTGTTCAGAACAGAATGTAAAAGTAGAGCTATACCTCACAGGTATAGTAATGTTCCAAATGTGAATCTCTAAGTTAACTCCTAATTGAACTGTATCTTTAAAACATTTCCACTGAAGATGTTAAAGCTCTTTTGAAAATAAAAGAAGGCTCAAAAAATCTGTATGAATCATACCTATCATCAGTTAACCAAATCTTATTTTAATTTTTTTCTCATTTTAATCCTGTTAAATAAAGCCAATGAAGAGGTACTTCTACAAAAAAAATCATTGATAAATGACATGCTATCTTATCATTTTTATATTACAATGATACAAGAATGTACATGTTACTTGGCCTAAAATTAATCCATCTAATCTTAACAGGTTTAGAAGGAGAGAAAAACGGAGGAAAAAATATTCATAAAAGCCCTTTTTCTTTCACGTCCTGTTACTGCATTGGCACTGGCAGCACTCACATTTCTTTATTAAGTCAGGAGTTAAAATTGGTACTTTAGAAATTAAGATAATCTATGAATACTAGTGCTGATAGCCCTGTGAGAACCAGCTTTTGTTAATCCTCACAACCAGTTTAAAAATAAACAACTTTTTCAGGACAGTTTTTCAGAAACAAAGATAATTCATGGAGCACCATATTAACACAAGTTAAAGCTTTCAGACAAAGACTGAGAAACAATGACCAACACCAACGGATGGAAAGGTGGACACATACACACACACAAACACACACACACTCAACATGGTTCACTGTTCCTGGGGAAGGAAGCTGCTTCATTCTCTCTAATCCTGAACCACTGTATATGTTCTCATTTTGTGGTTTTCTTTTCTTTTCTTTTTTTTTTTTTTGCTATCAGGTTAATATATATCTAAGAGAATTAGTCTTTCAAGTTATGAGAAATCCCACCTAAGCACATCACAAAGTCCCTATCGACCTTTCTGATATTTTTCTCCTAAGATCAGCAATTCTCATCTTTTTTTTAAGACAGCGGACTGATGAGAGAAAAGTGCTGTGGAATTCCAGCTCTATGCAACCTCTATCTCACATTCCTCTCCTACCATCCCCACTCCCCGCTCCGGATCCCGGGTCCTGGGTCTCTCAGAGACGCCTTCCCAGAGGCATGATCCTTGCCAACCTCAGCTATGGCTATCAAAGGCAATCTTCTTCTAGGGGTTTTGCTGTTTCCCTGTTGTTACCCCTGGGGGGGGGGGAGGCGGGAGAAGGAGACGTATTGCAACAGAGAATTTCAAGTCCCTTCTTGGAACTTTAGTGTCAATACTCAGGGGAGGGCATTTGCCGGGACTCAGCTTTCCTGCCTTTACACCGATTCCTCTCCCTTTCCCTTCCCAGCCTTTCATCCCCCTCAGGGAATCAGCAGGTCGTTCCCTTTAGGCCCCAAGACTTTGAGATTCCACTGCACCCGCACACATACCCTACCCTGCCTGTCCACTGAACGGGGCAGCCGGCATTTCCATGCTCTCTAACTTCTCCCGTAACGCCCCGGGGCTTCCTCAACCTCTTCACAGAGTTCTTAGGGACCTCAACTGAGTCTTCCCCGCAGCGGCGGCACGGCCTTCCCGTCCAGGGTTTCCAGGGACTCCGATCCCAAACCCGGGAGCCCAGCTCCAGGGATCTCTGTCTACCGACCCTCGGGGAGGCTGAGTCCCCATGAGGTGACCCCAAGCCCCCGGAGAATAGCGCCCCTGACCACCCCGGGGACCCGCACCGTTGCTGGGGTCCCCAGGGAGACCCAGTCCGGGCTCCGCTCACAGCCCCAACTTGCTCACCCTCTCTTAAGCAGGGGGCTGAGGTTTTCCCTCTCAGAGCTCCCCGCCCCCAGGCGCCTTCTACGCTGCGGAAACGCGGAGATCGCCCGAGAGCTGCGGGTCGGTCCCTCGGCGGCGACTCCCCAGCCGCAGGGCAGGCCCGGTCCCTCCCCCTCCGACGCCCCGCGCCCGGGACGCCCCGCCACCCGCCGCCCCGGGCGGGCTCGGCCCCGGGGGGTCTGTACTCCGGTGCTGCCCTCCCCGGGCCGTCCCCGCACCGCTCGCCCTTCCCGGCCGGCCGCGGACTCTGGCTCGGGTTCCCACCCCTCCGCCCGCTACGCCCGGAGCCGGCTGACGCCGCTACCTGCAGGGGCCGCCGCGCCTCTCAAAGCCCCGCCGCCGCCATCTTGCATTTCAAACCGACTGCACTTTTCAGGGAGTCAACTCTGACCTGTGAACCCTAAACCCGGAACCAGTCGGAGGGCCCGCGGACGGGCCTCAGAGCTCTCGGCGGCCCCGCGGATCTTGGGGAACCCAGGGTTGGAGTGTGAGCAGAGGCGCGCGCCCCAGCGGCCGACCAGAGGCTGAGGGGGAGGAGACAGAGCCAGCCGAGGCGGGGCCCTCCGCGCTGCGCACCACCCCCCCACACTCCGCACAGGGCTCCTCACGCCCAGACCCCGCTGCTTCCCGGGGATGCGACCCCGGCTGCTACCCTCCAGCGGCGCACCGCTGGAGATGAGGATGTGGAGGCCCCGCCCCCTGTCAACACAGACCACGCCCCCTGTCAGGAGAAGCCCCGCCTTCCCGACCTCGAGGCGGCCCGCCCCCTGCTGGCGATAGCTCCGCCTGCTGTCCTCAGAAGCAGGGTTCCCTCTCAGATCAGGCCAGAAGGCAGCCCCGCCTTCCGGGCGCTCTGCCCTCCTGCTGTCACCTCCACTCCGGAGGGGTAGGCATGCTGTCTTCCGCTGAAACGCCCCTTGTCGTCAGAAGCTCCACCTCTCAGAGGCAGGGCTGCTCAAGCCCCGCCCCTCGGTGGGAGCTCCGCCCACGGCCACAAGAGGCCCCGCCTCCCGAATGTCAGCAGGATTCCAGCCATACACCCCATCCTCTTTTCAACAGTCGCGCGCCCCTCTCAACTGCAGCTCCACCTCTGCTCCCCCACTCCACCAGGAGCTACAACTCCAGCTGCTGACACCCAAAGTTGAATTCAACCCCACTTGGAGCCCACCTCGGCCCGCTGTGCACCTCAGAAGCCTCGCCTCCCCCTCTCGAGTCACTTACTCTTCTGCAGGGCTCTCCGTCCAGCCCTGGTCTTCAAATCCCACTGCTTCAATGTGCACCAGCCCCGCAGGCGTGTCGGCCGAGGACCCAGGCTCTCAGGAAAACCGACGGCGTCACCGCCCCTCCCCACCTCCCCTCCCCTTCAGCCCCCGCATCATTGTTAAAAGGAAGAATACAAACAAAAGCAAAAACAACGACTCGCCCTCCGGGCTCCTGGGCGCACATTCATGGCCCTGGAAGCGTGAGAGCTCTTTGGCGTCTGGGTGTTTCGTCCCCACCCCCATCCTAGCCATGGACCTTTTGTGTTTTGACAGCAGTGCTCCACCGAACCACATTAATCCTAAAATATGCAATTGCTTAAAGTGAAAGCCTGACTGTCGAAATCAGCGTACACCATCTTCTTGTGGTTTCATCTTAGAATCCTAGAACTTGTGAATGCTGAGGCTTCGTGATCTTGCAAGCAGAGATATTCAACCGTGTCTTACTCCACACCCTGTACTTACAACAAAAACTTAACAGCACTTTGGTCTCCTGGAATTAAATTCATAATGTATGCTGTTTATAGGAATCATTTCACGAAGCCAATGCAATGTTCTAATCATATAAAGGCAAAAGAAGAGAAAATACTATCCTAATGTCAATAAAAATAGTAAAATAAGTTTTCACAATTTAAATACTCTGACACCTGATAAGAGAACCACAAGACAGAAACTGCCCCTACAAAATTTCTATATGCCTTCTAGAGACAGTGCTGTGCCTGCCTATTAGAATCTCACTTAGGATTTATCTCTGAGGAGACAAAGTATTTCAAATACAGAAATTCATTCTTCTGTTCATGCATTTAACCGATAGCTTTTTGAGCACCATGTATGCCAGGCACTGTGGGAGATAAAGCCATGTTAGGCCATCCAGGCCAAAGGGGACTGTTGTAAGATCCCAAGGATATCAAAAACAGGACATGCTCGAGTCCCACATACAAAATGGAGTAGTAGTTGCAAATAACCTATATGCAATCCTCCCATGTACTTTAAATCATCACTAGATTATTTACAATACCTAATACAATGTAAATGCTATGTAAACAGCTGCTATGCTGTATTGCTTAGGGGATAATGGTCAGAAAAAAGAGTGGATGAATGTTCAATACAGATGCAAACGTTCCTGATCCACGGTTGATTGAATCATGGATAGGCCAATGTATTTCTGTCTTCCAGCTTGCAGTCTAGTGACCTCTTGGCAGTGAACATGAGAATAAAAATGTATCAGGTGAAAGATGAGAACAGAAAGAGGCCCTTTAGGGATTATGGTTTGAAGAATATAAACTTCACTTTCTCTCTGTGAGTCCTTTCTCTCCTCTCTCGCTTCCTTTCTTCCTTTGCTTACTCTTCCTTCTCTTTTAGCACCACTTCTCTCTGTAAACTGCCTGGTTCACTGCCCAATGCCAGCAGCTCAGAATCCTCCTAATTTAGGGTCACGCCCACAAGGCAATTCTGTCCAGTAAAGCAATTTCAATAGCACAGTGCTGAAAACAGTGTCCTTAGCTGAAGTGTTGCCAGTTACTTGGTATCTTGTACAAAGCGAGACTGTTACCACCACTTGAAAAAACCAGTTGCAGACTGAAGCAATATGCATATATGTTTAGCATAGCAGATTGTGCCAGCCCACATAAATCTGTTTAGAGATCATGCTCACAGAGTAACTTGTTTTTATTAAAATAAACTCACTTATAAAAATTGTAAATATGACTGATTTTAACAGCTGTGTGGCTCTAGAAGTAAGTTTTTACCCATGGATTGGCACAGCTAGAAGTCTAGATTTTGTATGCATATGTTTTGCAGCTTGTCACACACAGACGTGCATGGCAAAACTTCAGTGCTGTTAGAGATGAGAAGTTGTTCAGCAGGTTCTGAAAAGCACAGTACTTTTGCTCTTCAGAGCCTCTACCACCTTTGGAACAGTGAAAAAAATATTTGTAGCAAACGAAGAGCTTTGAATAAGAAGTTCTAAGTGCTAGCATCTGAAGAATAGGCTTTCAATTGCACTTTTTGTAGAAGTTTCCTTCGGTTATTATTTTTCCCTTTTCCACCTTTTGTAGAAAAGTCTTTTTAAAAACATTGATACCATGAAACAGACCAGCCAAAAAAGACATCAAACTAAGATATGTTGGACTTTTAACTCTAGTTGGGTGAACTTGAAAATTTAGCCCCAGTGTAAAGGTCCCACAATTTGCCACAGCTACTTCAAAAAGTGAACAAAAATGTTCCTGCAAAGGTGGTTAAGCTGAACAAACCTTCAAAGCCAACTTCAAGTCAAGTCTTTCCTGTTCTTCTTAGCGCTAGTCTGTGAAGATAATAATATTATTGATAATATAACAATAAAAACAAATCAATGTTCCTGGTACTTATAAAACACCCTCTCCACTCCTTCCTTTCTTTCTGTATCTAGCACAAGGCCACACAGAGGATTAAAGGACAAGAAAACAAATACATATATAAAGAGAAAAAACTGATTTTCCAATATTGATTCAAAAAGTAACACTTGTGGGGGGAGGGATTGAAACTATAGTCTTAGACAGCACTCTACCACTTGACCTACGCCTCCAGCCATTTTGTTTGTTTTTTTGTTTTTGAAATAGCATTAACTTTGGCGGCTGGCCTGGAACTCTTGATCCTCCTGCCTCTCCTTCCTGAGTAGCTGGGAAATCAAGTATGCATGGACCACCATATCCACACAAGAAGTAACTCTTTGATATAGTTTATATTCTAAACAAGGTGTCACCTGGGTTCACTCATTGGTGTGTAACTTGATTTTCACCAAAATGTTTAGTGACTGTGTCAACACTATACAGGTCTAGAAAACAAAGTAGCAGATTATCTTTTTTTTTTTTTTTTGAACTATTTGTGTCTTTGGACACAAATAACCCTAGGGGAGCACACAACTAGGAAGCAATAGTAGAGTGAGGGCATACAGTGATTCACTGTATTTCAAAGTCCTAGCAGAGGACTGTAAGTAACAGTCCTTAACTTTAATGTGTGTGAAAAATTACTGGGGAACTTTGTTTAACAATAGATTCTCAGCCCCCACTTCTGGGAGAGTGGACTTCTGTGGGTCTGAAATGAGGTCATGAATCTGCATTTGCTATGGAGCTGGTAGACTTTATGTAAGTGATCTGCACACCCATTTAAGAAATACTGATCTAAACAATGCTTATAAATCAGGAGAAAACTTATTGCATTCTTGCACAATTAACTGAGGGTCATGAGCTATGAAAAATCAATATTTCTGGGAAGAGATATGCTTCCTCGAACTGTCAGTTACAGAAGCATCAACACTGGGAATTCTATTTCTGTCACTAAGCTCTCTCAGAACCATTGCAGAAACTTCACAGCTTATCAAACTCTGAGTACTTTTGGTTACTCTCATGTCCTTCTGTGAGGTCACTGGGATTGTTTGTAGACAGCATATGAGGAAGGTTTGGAGAGGTTAACCTCCCAAAGATAAATAAACTGGATTTTTGATCTGCCTTGACCAGTCCTACAACCTAATAAAGATGCTACAACACTTTTAGGACCAAAGGCACTGCATTAGCCAAGCTTCAGTGTGCCTGACATCTGAAGACATGCCTGGCATCGAAGTCAAATGGTTACTGTTCAAAGCACCACAATCCCTGCTACTGGCTGACTATATCAAGCAGTTGTTGCTGTGTAACAAATCCACCAACTTTAGCACCTTACAAGGCTATGCAGTATTGCAGTTTGCCCATGTGTAGGTCAGTTTGGAGTGTCTGCTGCTCTAAACCAGGTTTGGCTCTAAATCACATGAACTTGCTCATGTGTCTGTGGTCAGCAGGTGGTTGTCTGGGGGCTGTCTGGCCCAGAATACTGCATTCATGTATTGAAGCTGGCTCATTTAGGATAGTCTTGATCACACATGTAGTGGTTGACAAGCTGTTGGTCACACCAGTGACTTGCCCACAAGCCTCTTATCTTCCAGTGGAATATCCCAAACTTATTCACATGCAGACATGGTGTTCTAAGAAATCAAGAAGCAGCCTGTAAGACTCTTGAAGCCAGTCGTGGTAGCTCATACCTGTAATCTCAGCTATTTGGTTGGCAGGGATCAATCAGGAGGATCATGGTTTCAAGTCAACCAATAAAGCTGTCATTCCAGCTACGAAGGAGGCATAAATAGGAGGATAGCAGTTCCAGAAAAAAACCTGAGACCTTATTTGAAAATTAACTAAAGCAAAAAAGGACTAGTGGGCATGGCTCATGTGCACAACATGAAGTCCTGAGTTCAAACTCCAGTATATAAATAAACAAACAAACAAAAACCCCTCTTGCAGCTCAGTAT